TTTACTAAAACAATTTAAAATACAGTACAAGTAGACTGCAGTCCAAACCAGTCCTGTGTTATTGCAAGTTATGACTTGAACATTTTGCCGTTAGGATGTATCCAATGACAACAAGACAGACGAGACAACAGGTCAAGATGGGGAAAAGGACACCGGTGGAGATGCTGACATAGACTTTGATTTTTCCCAGAAGAAAAAGAAAAAAAAGAAGAAGGTGAGTGAAAAAAATACTACTACTTGTACTACTAATGGCGATCATTGTTACAACCTTTTATTATGTTAAGATGATGATTTTTTGTTTGGATTTGTCAAGGGATTGCTTTTTGTATATATCTGTTAATCTTGTTTAAATACTTTTTTACTGCACTTTTCACAAACAGGCAAAAGTTCAAAAGTTCAAAAGCCGCCTTCGCAATTGCATTTTTCGCTGTCGTCAATCATAATTACTATCACAAGCAACGAACCTTGAAACACAGAAACACACAAAACAGATGGAAATCCACCAATCTCAAACCAGGACCTTTTGAACCCGTTAAAGAAAAGTTTTGTTTCCTAAGAGGTCCGTTAAGGTGATTGACGGCAGGGAAAAACACAATCGTCAGTTGGCTTTTGAACTTCAGAATTTGCGTGTTTGTGAAAAGTGCAGTAAACTCATCTAGTCAATTGCCTGAACATGATATGCTGTTTTAGTGAAAACTAATATTTTTAAAAGTATCCTGCCTTATCAATGTTTATTTCTCAATCACACTTCTAAAGCAGCTTACCTAAGAGTGTGGCTTATTAGCTAGTTTTATTGTAATATTATCACACAGGTCGTGGTTGATGAATCTGACATGACTGACAATACAGATACCAAAGGAACACTAAATGGTGCAGATTCTGATGGAGATGATGGTAAGTTCACTGTGTTAATGGCTATGCTCTCATGTCCCTGGCAATTTAAATGCTATGCACCTTGGATATGACATGTTCTAGTGTGTGCCAAAATAACTGACTTTCTATGTGATTGCCATAGTGCTTGACGAGAATTGCATTCTGGACGATGCACTTCTCATAACGCAGGAAAGGTGACCAATGTGCAAGTTACTTTTGAGAGGAAATGCCAACATGTACTCCTTAGAGAGGAGCTTAACAAGAAGGGACTGTAGTGTCCCTCCACAGATTTAAGACTGTGACCGTTTAACACGTAAATTATTGCTTTTATTCAGCTGAATTCATAGATGACAATGATGACAATGGTCCCGCATGGAGTGATAGAGATTATACGTATGAAGAGGTACCTATTCATCTCGGTGCTTGCTTTGCAAGCCGTTTGTTTATACTTGACTAATAGTAATCCACTGGTTCTATTTTCTGCTCTGACGTACAAATGTATCATATCATTTTGTTAAATAATAGGCAGGGCTCGAAATTAAAAAAATCCTCTGGTCGCCTTTTGGCGACCAACTGGAGAAATATAGTCGCCAGATGCAAATTTTTAGTCGCCAGTTCGTATAATGTAAATGACGCAGCTCGTAGTCAGGGCTTCTGATATTTCGCGCCGTCGCAGAGCCGCGAAATTCACAAAAACACGCAAAATACCGCGAAATTCGGTAGAAATCTTATCAAATACATGTCTGTACAACATATTTGAAACTTTTCTCAGCTATTGGGGCTATTTACTTGCCGTAAACTTGTAAACTTATCTTGAAACTTCGTCACTGAAACGTGCAAACAACGTCCCTTAACTCCGAAACTACCAGGCGTTGATTATGTTGTGAAAAACTGGGCACTAGCCATGATGTTAGAGGCTTTGCCATTGGTTCAGTTCTGGAGCGTATTGTTGTTGAAAGAGCAAATTAATGATGACTCTGTTAGAAAAACATTAAAAACGCTGGTCCGGTCAGCGCAAAAACCGATCGATCTCTGACGAAGTTTTCCCGGAAAATAACCACAAAATCGGCCTTTTTTGACCGACTGATTTTCGGCTAAGTTTGCCGCGAAAATTCCTGCGAAATCAGTCGATTTTCCGCGAATTTGCCCCTAAAAATCCCGCGAAATTTGACTTTTTTTAAGTGACCTATCAGAAGCCCTGCATAGTATGGTGCGATCCATCAGATTTGAAAATATCGTGGACAGAAGTCGGTATAAACTTGGAGGTAAACTGGCTTTGTTTATGCGATTTGGCACATGTTTTATGATGAAAGCGAAGCAGGATAAGATGAAATGTTTGTTTGAACTTTATTTTTTTATTTTAAATATAAATCATAGAGAAAACTGGTCGCCACTTTGGCGACTAAACTTGAATTTTTAGTCGCCAAGGAGAAAATGTTAGTCGCATTGGCGACCGTATCAGTCGCAATTTCGAGCCCTGATAGGTGCATTAAAATTAGTTTAATTACGTTGATGAGAACACATTTTTGTGGTATCATAGTGGGATTTTATCCACAGAATCAACAACTACATGAAGAGCTGTGATAAATTATGCTATAGCTCATTTTGCATAGTTTGTGTGAAGTTAAAAAGTGCAACATAGTTATGTGTAACTTTCACTTTTGCATGTCAGCATCTTTCTATTTAAGGTAGATTATCATCAAGGCATTTGTAACCCAAGAACAAATTTGTCAAGCTTAGTTTTTTAATGTCCACAGTTATTAACACGAGTGTTTGACATAATGCGAGCCAAAAATCCGGAAATGGTGACAGGGGAGAAGAAGAAGTTTGTCATGAAACCTCCACAAGTGGTCAGGATAGGTACAAAAAAGACGTCATTCGCAAACTTCACAGATATCTGTAAAATGTACGTTGAGAAATTTTTCTCAGTTATTTTTGTCATTCAACCATTATTTTCACAGTAACATCACTGTGAGTAGTCTTTTTGGCAGGCCATATTCTAGTCTTCAGCCATCAAAATTTAAAACTTCATTTTCGCACCCTTGGTGGTTTACCCATTAATAAAACTGTCAAATAGACATCTTGGTAGCCTTTCAGTTTTTATGAAGAATTGATAACTGTTTATTACAGAACATCAACATTATTTTTACCTCCTGAAAAACTGGCCATGCCTATGGGTGTGTGGAATAAAGCACTAACTGACCTCTGATTAACCACTTGATTCTCTTTGCCTGGTATATAATGTTATAGTTAATCAATTGATAAATTGACATTAGATCAGTCACTTAGCGCCTTATTCAATGGGCCCCTTGTGTGCTCCAAATTTCGGTTCTAAACTCTAACAGAAAAAAGGGGTCCATTACCGACAAACTTAGTTAAAGGTTTAAAATTAATTAGTCTCACAGCAAGTGTCATTACTATTTTAATGTATGCTTGGTGGGAGTCCACTTTGGGCTTTAGGACAACATGTTTCTTTTTGTGCTACATTTTTTTTATGGGGCATAGCATTTTAGGACCGCTGGTTCTCAATAATGCTTAGTTAGCATTTTCATATGGTCACACCATGAAAGACACAACAGTAAACTTGGACATAGTCATCATTTTAACAATGTCATTTGTTACTTTGCAGTTTACATAGACAACCAAAACATCTTTTAGCTTTCCTGTTGGCAGAGTTAGGAACAAGGTATGTGTTTTTTAAATCGCAAGCAACAGACTTTTCAGGCTGTTTTGAATAAAAGAGTGCGTCAAGGATTCTTGAATTTGTAACTCTTTGTAACCCTTTTATCATGTTCATTTGCCTGTCAGGCAGTGGAAAGAATATTTCATCTAATAAATTGACTAAGGGATGATTTTGTGTCTGTTCATCATTTAATTTAATTTATTTGGAGGGGGGGTTGAAGACAGGGAAGAGGGTGTCTACTGTAGGTTTTTTTCCCACTTACACTGTACTTTGTTTTAACCTTTTTGCTGGCGATGATTAGAAATGCCATAAATCCTCTATTAAGTCCCCCAGGGGGCTTATTTATTTCAAACACATTAGAGGGGGGGGGGGGGCTTACTAGAGATGGCGGACTTATTTAATTCAGCTAAGATAATGTTATCGGTTCTCCATAAAGAACTGCAGTGGTACCTCGATATAATGAAGGTCCTAGGAATTGGAAAAATGTGTTGGCTATAATGAGGTTTCATTATATCAAGGTTACCCTTTTTCATATATTTTACTATGGTAAAGGAAGTCGTTCGTTATACCGAGGACTTCGTTATATAGAGGTTCCCTATATCGAGGTTCTACTTTAGAATGCAAAGTGGAAGAGCTCGAATCAAGAGGTTGGAGATCGTGAAGCCAAAGATCCAAAATTCCAGCTAGTAATAAACCATCCTGGATTACTCCACATGAAGTGTTACAGTTGTGATTGATTAATACTGGAGTTATTAGTGAAGAATAATAAGGGGGAGGGGAGGGATGGCTTAAAAAGAGGGGGGCTTATTGACTTTCTCCCTCTGAAAAGGGAGAGCTTATTAGAGGGAGGGGGCTTAATAGAGGATTTATAGAATAATAGAATAGAATGTAAGGCTAGTATTATGTGGATTTGTAACTAATAACTTTATATTAAATTTTAATTTGTAGTGGCTCCATTGATGGTAATAACCAGCTCATCATCAAAGGACGTTTTCAGCAAAAACAGATTGAAAATGTGCTTAGAAGATATATCAGTAAGTTGATGCATTTTGGAGGATGGGAGTTTAAGTACTTGTCATAAATCACAGGGAGTTTGTAATAGGTGCAAATTGTACAAACCTCAACACCAAATTGACTTTTATTTGTAAGAAGGGCGGAGTGTTGGTGGAACTTTTGGAAGTACATGTAGAGTCTTAACTAGCATCCAACACAGCATCACAACCATGACCTGTAATCAAAGATTGAGTATCAGTCATGGTGATGTGAGATTTAAATGTATGTTTAGATGAGCAAAGACAACTACAGAACCTGTAGACAGTGGAAGAGAATGTGAAGACAGGTTCTTGTGAACACATTTAATTCTGGCCCTCTACAGAGGCTAAAAAATATTGTTCTAACATGACTCCGGGCCTTAACGGCGCAAATTGCAAGTTTTTCACGACTCTAGCCTAAGAAAACCAATGGCATTTCGTGACACCACCAATGGAACCCTGCAAAATTACGTCTGAAAAACAAGTGCAGAGATTCCTTACTGATGACGTGTTCCTACCCATACCTAGGTTGTGCTTCTGATTGGATGATGCAAATTTACAATCTAAAGCACTGCCCAGATCTGGATAGTGACACGTCATCAGTGTGGAATTTCTGCGCTTGTTTCTCAGACATCATTGACAATTCCAAGAAGAGACTTGAGCACAATTAAAACCAAACAAAATAGAGAAATATGCCCATAGGGATCATGTTAGATTAATGTATCGAACATGAATTGAACAAAATCACTCTGAGAAAAGGTGGGACTGGGGAGAAAGCCCTCTCTCCCCAGTTCTCTTCACAGTTTGTTTTAGTTTTTAGATCCTGTATTACTAAGCCTGCACTCAGCTGACTGCAAAACAAACTGAACACCTGCAGTCTAAAAAACCATTTTATTCACACTGTAACTTGCTTTCCCTCTTGTTTCTCTCCAACAGAGGAGTATGTGACGTGTCACACGTGTCGTTCACCTGATACCATTCTTCAGAAAGAGACTAGGCTGTTTTTCATTCAGTGTGAAACTTGTGGATCAAGACGATCAGTTGCTAGCATCAAATCAGGTTTCCAGGCCATTACACAGAAGAGAGCTCAGCTTAAGAGTAAACAACAGTGAAGTCTAATGTATACCATCTACTACTGCTAAAACTGGACAGTACCATTCATTTGGTTTACGGATCTGGCATTAAAAACAATGATGAAAAAAAGGGTCTTGTGTCTGCATTACAGATACAGTATGAAAGCCAAGATTGTAAAGAGATTGTCTACAGATGTTTTGAAAAACATAATCTATCGTTTTTAATGAAAACTGAACTTGCCATCTAAATACAAAAAAGGATAATTTCCCACTGTTATTTCTTGCCGTCATAAGTACAGTTGACTTGTATCAAGTGATCGTGTTATCAGAGTTAGAACTCAAAGTAGACAAAATACCTCAAGTTTCTCCAAATAAATTACCGTTATCACAGCTGTTTTTGCAAGACAAAATTGCTAATCTGATACATAAGCCTAATAAAAAATGGTACTGCATGTAAACATTTTTAGTTGTCTCTCTCTTTCAAAACTTCACAAGTCTCTATCATTACTTTTTAGAACTAGCCTTGATTTTTTTTGCGATTTAAAAGAAAACTTGACTAAAGGTTAAGTACTATCTGAGGTTTCCTTTTGGGTGGAATTTTCATGGTATTAGGTTGTTCTACAAAATCATGTCATTGTAACTTTGTAAACTTTGTTCATCACTTGTTCTATAAATGAATTTGGCTGAATAGACTTAGCTTATGCTGTATAATAACAAGTAAATTTATATAAGTATTTGCATTGAAATATTATGGCAAAAATCGATTTCCAAATTGTGGTGAATTGACTAAACTCTGGTGGCAACCAGTCGCACCATCACAGCATCACCATGACAGCAGATTATTTTCTGGTTACAGTTATCCTTGGTCTCAAGCTACAGTGTAACTGTTTGGCTTCAATTTCCCCCAAAATTCCATTTTCCATTTCTATTTTTCCTATCCTATTGAACCACAACGTAACTAGTCAGCCAGGCTCTCAACAGCATAGACATTCAGGGCTGTGTTGTAACAGAGCTTATTAGTCCCTGGTGCCCAAATTTTGCCCTCTTAGGTTTTTCGTACAAATCAAATGCCAGGCACCCTAGATTTTACGGTTTCAGAGTACTAGGCTCTCTTCAATTTCCCTTAGAGCACAGCCTTGTATTTCTTATAATAGCACCAATGGCACATCACGCTTGTGCTGTTTACTAACTACTGGTACCTTACTACATTTGATTTTCATACATTGAGGTATAGAAAAGAGAAGTGTGATGTCACAAAAATGCATTTTTGTGGAGTTAGGGGATTAGTTAACAAATTTAGAAAGAACAAGACGAAAAAAGTCCCCTTGCCAAAAATCATCCTGTAAGTGCAGATTGGTGAAGAGATATAAGCACCCGTTTGCTCTGATGACTGGAGCATACTTTGCTTTTATATCCTCACCAATTTGCACTACCAGGCTGTTTTTTAGCAAGTGACAAATTTCATCTTGTTCTTTCTGGATATTTTCACTGATTTGTTCTTGGGATGTCATCACCTCTCTTGTCTGTTGACAGTGATATTTGGCAGTACTTATTGTCTAAGATTCAGTTACATTAATAATTTAATTTTAAACAAACTGAGTCGTTCCACAATTTTTACATCCTATTATTCACAACACCTAATTTCCTCAATTTTTGAACATTTCATGTAATAAGGTAACTTCTGTATAATTATTTACATGATAAAACATGCAGGAAGAAATAAAAAAGCACAAAAGTTATTCTCCATTTTGCCTAATGCTTTGCTCTGCACCTTCTGACGTTTTTTCTTTTTAACAATGGTAGGGTCAAATGAGTAAACCCAGGGGGGAAGCGGGTGGCTATTTACTCAAAATACCTCTATGGTAATGGTAATCAAACACATGAAATGAACCCCTCCAACTGGCAGGACAACTGTATCCAAAAAATACAGAGTACCTACTTCTCTTAAGAGGTAGCTATATACAGTAGTATGGTCGACTCTCTGGTACATGCTCTGGTTGTTCGAACATTCGATAGTGCCGACCACCAGATAAAGTAATTATCCAGTGGATAGCATTATCTGCCCTTCGAACAACTGGGTACAGAAGATCTGTTGGTACCCCAATGCCAAACCAACTATGATCATTAAGCGTAAAAGCGATGAACAAAACATAAAAAAATGAAAGTGTAAAACAAAACATTAAAATTAACATGAAGAACAAAAGAATGAAATAACTGTCACATTTAAAAAGCATTTTTGTTTTAATTTTATCATCTCCCTTGTACCCTGGGACCAGGCTCTGTAGTGGGGCAAAAAGGCAAAAAACAGGGTCAGACTACCTCTGGTCACTTCTTGGCTTGCTTCGCTTGCCGATTTTTTTCTCCCTTTTCCCCCAATGCAGGCTTGTAAAACTCAAAGCAGTGAGACTGTACCTTAATTAAAATAAATTGGTGGCGCTATGAACAGGGTTTTGCTTAGTTGGTAATCCATTTCAGTCAGAATCAGACTGCACCAAATCTGACAAAGCAAAAATCAATTTGGTGAAAAAACGAACTGACAAAAATTATATCTAATATCACCTCAAAATAGAGAATATAAAAGCAGTAAAGACAGATTGACGACAAATCCGGTATTTATTCAAAGGTGTCTGCACCATGTCATACATACAGTAGATACTTTCCTTGATAAATACGAGTATAAATACATTAAAAATCCTTGATATAAGTAACCACAAACGATTATTTGATGTTCCTTGTTCAACTAGTCTAAGGGTATAAATTAAGTTTACACATTATATGAAGATAAAGATTGAACCACATGAACCAGACGAGACAAAAATATCCTATTAATATTATATTCTGATATTGACAAGAAAAAAAAATGCTCAACTAACAAAAAATACAAAAAGAAACCTTATTCCTCGTGTTCTCAAATGTAGGGAATAAACTGTGCTAGAGAAAGTTCAATGGTTTTTAAATAATGTTATGGTAAATGTGTAGTTACATTGCTAGGTGGAAACGTTTTTAATATTCTAACATCACAATGATTCAATTATACAAAGTAAAAAATTAAAAAATGTTCTACCTATTCAAACTACTTAAGTGCAACATTCCTAGTCTTTTTTGGTTTAGCAGTGCAATATTTTCTTACACATTTAGTATAAATAGTTTAGTCCATTATTTGAATATTTATATTAATTTATTCTTCTTCTCTCATAAAATGACTTGCTATACCTAACGCCCCACCCATACCAAACCGAACAAAATTGTCCCCGATAAGTGGCCCCACTGCAAACAAAGCAGGTTCATTCACAGACTCGTAAGTAAATGGATTGATGTCAATAGGATTCTCTTTGCTGTCGACTGGTTTCACGGGCTTAGCTCCAAGTGATTTGACTCCACTTAAGAAGGACAGATCAGGTTTAGCACCAATCAGGACAAAAACATTTGAGACCTTTTGCTTAAACAGAGATCCATCAGCCTTTTTTAAGATGCACTCTTTGTTCTTACGAATTTCTACCAAGGTGGTTTTGGTGAAGGGGGTGTACATAGCATCTTTGCCATATGCCGTTGTTACATCTCCCTTGATCATCTGGCCAACTTTATAATACTCTGGATAAACCACACCTGGGAGTTGATTGTAAATGATTTTGGGATCGTTTGCATTCTTGCGGACCACATGTATAACAGGAATGCCTTTGTTTCGCAGAGCTAGTACACAGTCTGCTGCTGACAAGCCTGCGCCAACAACTAGACAAGGATCCATTGACAGTGGAGAATCAAGCTCATTTAAATATCTGTCAATCAGATCCATCTTGTGGTAAACAAATGGCAATTTTTCTCCCGGAATACCAAGAACTTTAGGGAATCGGTTTCCAGTAGCAAGAACAACATTGTACGCATGGACAATGAAAGGTTCACAACCTCCATTGTCAGTAGTCCTTACACCTCTGATCTCCCAACAACCATCTCTTTGAACATCAGTTGTTCGACAGTGGCAATTGGTACAATCCGCTTGAAGCACGCGCTTGACAGACAACACCTCTGAATCACTCCAAAAGTTTCCTTCAATGTTGGTATTTTCGACATAGTCCTTGTAATACTCAGCGATATGGCTCGTTGTAGCGCGATCATAGTTGTATCCATCACTTTTTACCCCGTTGGTCACAAGGTTGCATGGCTTTCTCACTGTAGAAGATCTGTGGTCCCTTAGCCAGTCTTGGAAGTCACACCCTGGTAACTCAAGCCAGTTGTTAAGACTTAAAGTAAGCTGAGAGCCCTGCATGTTGTGCCAGCATCCCCCTGGTGGACCACTCCCAAGGACAAGGTGCTTAACAGCTTTACTTGGATGGTGATGCCACTTGAGACATGATCCCTGGTCTTTACCAAGGTCAGCTTCGGGGCGTAACAACTGATCAAACAATAATGCAACAGGGTTGAAAGAGCGTCCTTCCAAGCCCTCGCTCAAATACTCCAAATCCTGAAAATGGTGGAGAGGAGAAAAGTAATCAAGTTATCAGCTTCGATTTCCCTTGAAGGTTCAAGTTATTGGGTGTTGACCGTACTTAAAGTATGGGAAGAAACGTTTAAAACACACAGAGATATTCATCTGCTTAATACAGGGTGTCTGCCTAAAACCAGTTTCACTGTATTATCTTTTGGTTAAGATTAACAAGTTTGTACTTACATTGTCCAGCAATGATTTCCCACGTTCCTCACAGAGTTTCTGGTCTAGAAGGGTGTTTGGATGCTGGTGTGGGATGTAGTACGGCACATTTCCAGATAGTACATAAGACAAACTCAGTGCATTCGGGCCATTTCCTGCAATAACAATTCAAAATTGTTAATAATAGTTCAAAAATCCAGACTTATTTTTTGAGCAGTAATATCCGTACATTGTGCGTAATTTTCATAAAATGGGAAGACTGCGCCTACACATCGTTCCTTACAAGCCACCTCCCCTGAAACAGGTGGCAAAGTCATGAAACTAGTAAATAAGTCCCTCCCTCAAATATTAACCATACCCTTCAATCTCTCTTTTACCTTCCTTATTATATATATTTAGCAGCCTGGATATAACAAGGACGACAACATTTTTCTCCATTTGAATGATTTTTTAGACTATGACAACACCTGTCCAGCTTTTGCATCAATTTTTTTTTGCAAGCCAGTCTCTGTTAAAATAATTTGCCCAAAGAAAATGTTATTAAAGAAAAAACCATATACAAATACACCCTTGGTAAATGATTTCTGTCATCAAGCGATTCACCAAGAAAATGCACACAATCTGTACTCTTTTAGGAGAATATCGTGCAGAGGTTTAAATATGCAGGATGTCAGATCCTGGCAAGGGAATCCACACTTGGCCACAAAAGAATACACTTTGCTTTACACAGCTGTCTGCTCACCAAGGTGTACAATAGAAGGGTACCAGTAACACGATAATTCAGGGGGGTAACCCTATGTTGGAATTAAGCATCCTTGATAAGCAGGAGGCAAAATGCTTCACAGAGCTTCATACCACAGAAAACTAGATTATAGACCCAAATCAATGAATGTTGGTGTCCTTGGCTTGAAGTCTACCTTTTATTTTCTTGCATATACGTTTATGATTTGGTGGAAATGCATTGGCAGGTGTATTAAGTATGCTTGACAAGCTTTTGGTGTAAAAGCTTCACCTGTTCTGTTTCCTTAGATTAGAAATTCTATTCCCTACTACAGTGTGCAAAAAGAAACAACAACATTATTATAACTGGGAGTTAAAGCCCTGTTATAAAGGCTTAGTATCCACATCAGTAAGAAGTAAAACCCTCATAATTAACTGCTCATCATGCTGCAAAAATCAGTATGTTCTCAAGCGGTTTCAGGGTATCAATAATATATTTTTCAGCATGAATATATTATTTTAGTAGTCTTAATAATTTAATATTTCACATGTTATGGGAAATTTTTCCATTTCCAAAGTTCAAACAAAATTATGCTTTTTATATCAATTGAATATAATCAGTGCTAGGTTTATTTACATTTGGCAATGGAAGAGCTTAAGTGATATTTATTTTCCTAACTGAAATAAGTTCTAATAAGAGTTTTTCTTTTGCTCATAGATGAATGTGGAGAACTTAAATGAAATAAAATATAAGGTTAGACATACCTGGGCTTGCAAAAAATAACTTTTGAGACCCTTTAATTTCCCATGGCAAAGTGGTGTACTGAATCATTCATGCAACAAAAACTTATTAAGCAATTGCCTAATCATACATGCACGTATATTGCAAAATGCACGGATGGCAGGTTGTGACCTCTTGTAGACACTGCCAAACAGGAAAATTTGGTTCTATATGGTTTATAAACTATTTAAGGTACAGCTCACCTATTATCACAACCTCGTATTCATCAGTATCGCAGGAAAACAGCGACATCTGCCTGACAGGTTCAAGTGTACTGCAAACTAATTTTTACAGCAAAATAAATTAGGAATTATATTTGGTCAAGTTAATCATGCAAACGTATACGTATACAACACTTTTTAGGTTAACAACAAACCTTCCATGCACTCGAAAAAAGTTCACTAATAAACCCACGAAAAGTTACGTGTGAATGTATTTTTTAAACGATGTGGGACACTTTCACAAGTGAGCTAAAATCAAAATTGATATCATGTAAAGAACGCCACCTGAGTCTGAAGATTATAATAATAGTGAGATGATTCAGCAAAATATTTGAAAGCCAAGGGAGGATGACGGTCACTGAATAATACATTTAATTGGCGTATTCTCTTTTGGATTCGAAGACTCTGTTGAAAACAAACCTTCTGTTATGAATTAAAGTCTCCCTTTCTTTGCTTCGACATGATTTATCCTTAGAGAAACAACGATAAATAATATATTGTACCGTTACGACATGCAGAGAACAATTTTAAGAGCCTTCAAAACAAATGAGAGCTGCAGTATTCTTGACAGCAGATTGCGTACTGTGCGAGTCGTTTGAAGAGTTCGTGATTCAAGTAGAACGTTTGGGTTTAAGCTGAACACCTATGTTTATAAATCAGCGTATAAAATTGAAGGCGAAATCACCCAACGAACCAAACAACGACTGTTAGCCTCGTCTGGATTTTGAGTTAAAAGTTCTCTTTTACCTCAATAAGGCATAACTTTAGCTTAAGCTTAAAGACAAGTAAACACTGGACATGAGACAATTAAGCTTAAAAGCAAGGCTATAAATTATGAAAATCGCTAGTATCATACTTACTATAGGTTACTGCAAACTGAATTGGAACTTTAAGCTTAAATGCACACAAACAGATTCCTACGTGTACTGCGCACCTTTTATAAAAATGAAAATCAACCTTATTTTTCCACCTCGCCGACGAGCGATTGCCAACCTGTCACGCCTTCACGGCCACGCGCTCTAAAAGAAAGATCCTCCGCTTGTGCTGATGTTTTGTAATGCACATTAGTCAAGGTGTCGATTTACGTCACGAACTCCTTTGGGGCTTCTCACTCACCCCTGGCCCTCCCAAACTACTGAAAGTAATATTTTGTATCAATCTCAAATGTTGGGTTTTCAATGCAATATCCCCAAAGACCCAAGGAATTCGTTACAGCACAAGAACTGTTCTAGAACCCTTACAAAAGTGATCACTAGACGAAGTATTTTACAGTTAAAAGTTAAAAGAAATCGCGTCTAAGAAGGATAGACTGGGAATGAGTTACGACTTCGGACACAGGTAGCCCACTCTCCTAACATGAGTTTGTTCTCTCGATTTATGATGCCAAACTTAAAATTCAACAATTTAACTGGCTAATCATTTCAGTTGAAATAAGCGAGCCCTTCTGCCTTGCCGGAATGAAGTTGGCTGTGTAGCGTGCGAGGGCAGCACCCCAAAAGAAATTATATGGGGAGCTTGCTAGCAGGCCATAGACCCAATCTAAACCTTCTGTTTGTCTAGATAATGCTTGGACCGGCTGCAACGCGGGCTAGAATTAAATGGAAAGAGAAAATTTTGATCGGAAACTGAACAAAGTCAGAAGCGTATTACACTTTCGATAGGAACACACACGATGGAATGACTTCTCAATCAATATCAATTAAAGGACCACAATCATCGTTTTAATACTCTCTATGTCATGTAAAGAATGTATAAAGCCAAATTTGCTGATACTATCCGGATTACACCCTTTTTTAAGACTCGCTATCGATCACGTGACGTTTTGTTTATTACGTCACACTTATAAATCAATGTTATGTTTAAAGGAACAGTATCCCGTTACTGCGCATGCACCAAACTTTGATTTTTGGACAGGATGTCGCGAAATCAAAAGATGCGAGGAGAGTAAGAGAATCTTGAAAAATCCGTTTGCATCGCACTTGACCGGATTCAATACGACACTAAAACTTCTCAGGATTATAGATCAATGATACATTGTTCCTGTGAAGTTTCGATTTGGGCAAAATCTGGATTTTTTGGCGTTACTTTTATTGCCGTTGGCCGGAGGACCAAAAGATTGGAACCACTTTGATGCCGATTGAAGGCTTATTTCTTCTGCTAGCTTCCATACAAGCTCAGATAATTGTGAAAGGAATACGCAGAAAAGAAACAGCAGCAATAAAGACTGTAAGAAAGAAACCGTTGAGACATTGATGTGACTGAGGAGATCTTGTGGAGGGGAGCTTCGTGAAGCAGAATGTTTTGCAACAACGCGTTAGTAAACTTTTAAATGAATCTCCCTACGGCCGACAAAATCGAACAAACAGGCGCTACATGTTTTGAAAAACTAGTGACATGAAATCATGATATCATTTTTGACTAACCTTTGTGATGATTCATAGCGTTGAGATTGCATTTTTATTTATGTCTTTCAAACGTTTGAGGCTAGAACGCGAGCAAATCAGGCAGATATTACTGGACCTAGAGCTATTGACCTCTGACACGAGTTTCAAATTAGAAAATATGTTTTTAAAGCGAGCGGAACGAGATTTTCGGGTCGCGAGGCGGCCCAGCTAGCGATAAAATCGCGATGGGTCTTCGAACCGCGAGCCAAATTTTTATATAAGACGAAAGACTTCTTCGAAAGTCTAAAATATTACTTGAGAATATAAACAACAAATCTCTGTCGGCGGTGCGGTCCGGAAGGAAATCTTGTCGAGTCAATTTGACAGTTCTATTGTCTTTTGAAGAAAAAACAGATGACGCTCGCGCGTGCGCATAATCGGGACACTGTTACACGATAAGACTCGAAACGACGATTTTTAGCCCAAAACAGAGTTGCAACATTATTGCGACATTGTTTCGAATAGTCACAACATTGTTCCAACATTGCAAGGATATTTTGCGTTAAAAATCGTCGTTGCGAATCGTCCCCGTGTAACATCACCTTTAGCAAACCCGAGAGGATGGATTCTTACGTAAAGGTAGAATTACGTAATTTTCGGATAAGGCCCTTTTATCCTTCACCAACAGCTAGCGTAGCACGGTTCATACTTTACACCAGGATCCATTCCTGCGTAATCGAACTTTGCTGTCTGTTACTACGTCTTTGAAAGCTTATATAAGTCCATGCAATTTGGTTTTAGTTTCTTATACGTGATTGAACTCGTTAGTGACTCAATATCCTGACTAAAATTCTTGAATAATTCAATAAATTAAAATTGTGCTCATTTTTTTTTCTTTGAAATGTACCAAAGCATAATGCAACTTAAGTTGAACCCGCGTCGTCCTTGAATTAAGCAGTCAAAATTTGACCGTCAGCGAGGTTCAGAAGTTTTCATCCCATATTTTCTGTAAGACGGATATCAGCAAGGATCCTCTTTGTGGCTGCTTGATTATACAGGCTTATACGCCAGGCACAAAACGGTTTTCATAAACTTTAACTGCGCCCAAAAGACTACTTTGGGCTAAAGTTCAATGTTACTTTCTCTCATTTGACACTTTACAAAGTTCTTTCAAACATACTAATTCAGACAGTAATTTGGTAATATTCCTTATTATCGAGTTCATTGTTATAGGATACAAGAATTAAAGCATACACAAGGAGACGGAAGTGTCTTCCTCCGCTCAGCTTTCAAGCTGCATGTTCATTATTGTTTTCAGAAAAAGAATTTTTTATCTGCGCTAACAAACTTCCATTAATTGCGCAACGTTTTAGGTAGGTTTTAGAGAGAACACCAATCGCAAACAACTATTTCAAAGGTTTATACAAACAAGGCTTTATATACTTGTGGAAATGATCTGCAAACAGAGTAGACGATCATGCCAAGACTGGTTATGTCTGAACATGAAAATACACAAGTCGCATATACCTAGACTTTACCTGGATATAACAAACAGTTATTAGACTTATCCGTCTGTTCGAGAACGATTCGTTAAATTCTTAAGCGAGTTTATTGTATAACAGATACTCACCTTAGCCTCTTAACTTCACTACTCTACTGACCACCAACACCAGCAAGACGGAACATCGAAACAGAACGTGATCTTCAAATTAAAGTTAATTCAGCTGAAACGGCGGTATTGCTTGGTCAGGGTGACCTTCACGCCTAGGTCACGTTTTTCCGCTTTTTCTAAACATTCGGTGAACAAATATCAAGTGTTTTGAGGCCAGTTATTCAGTTATCAGCACAAAACAAAAGAAAGCTTTGGTATTGCATTATCGCTTCTCGGTCCACTGGTCTGAAGCGAATGTAAAGAATGTCTCACAAATATCGCTAATATAGGGCTTAGTTTGACGCAAATATAATTTAGTAGCTAGGTAACACAATGTACGGCGCGATAATCTTTTTTGCTGAAAACAAAAAAGGCTGGTTCTAATTGGGAGCATGCAATTAACGTAACCTAAGAGTGATAATAGTGGAACTCTCAGTACGATGCACGACATGTGAGGGTCACATCTGAGAAAAGCTTCCCCAGAAATCAAGAGTGGAAGCTACAGTAGTAGAAGAACAGTCATTTATGCACAGGTACCCTCGTCCGAAGGCAAAAGGCCTGGGAACGAAGTTGGCTTTCCGTCAGTATTGTTTCACCCTGGAACGATATTGTACTGCTTTTAGGCTTACGTGGATGTATGTATTAGCTTGCATGCATCGGGGAGCTGTGAGTTATAAAACTAGACTGTCAATATTATTTTCTCCTAAATATCCATAGAGGTGCTTTTTTTGGCATGTCATGACCGTTGGCACGGCATAACGAACTTTGTAAGAAAGCAATCCACAAATGGCCAGCTACGTGACATGAGCGACGATAAACAGCTGGGCTATCGCCCGTTCCATTTGTCATGACATATTAGGGAGCTTAAGCAATACGACGACGACGACAACTTCAAAAAACAATAGGTTTAATGATCAAAACAACAGCTCTGCACGCGTGCATCACGCCTTTTAGTACATTTCTTTGACGTCCACTGCACGACTACGACGTGAAACCTCCTAATTTGACGTTTTATGGAGGACATGGACATACGACGACTAATTTTCCTTCCTCTTTTTCATCCTGAATAAAATCCTTAAGAATTCAAGTCCAGGAAAAGTCACCTTCGTTTGACATTTTCAGCGGGTCCAAACAGACGCGATTAAGTTTGAAAGAACGCAAATTCATTTTTTTACCGTTGTTTTCATTGCCGTCGTCGTCGTCCTTGCTTAAGGTCTCTATTCTCTTGGCTTCTTTAGTTTTCTCAGTTTTATGTATATTGTGGATAGCTACGAAGCGTGCATGAAGATTGCATGGAGCCGCTGGAGTTTCTTCCAAAGTTAAACAATAGGCGTGGTTGGTGCTTGAACTGAGTTAAGTTAAAAGATTCACTTCTAAGCTTTTTATTTATTTGCACCGTGACGGGCACATATACAATAAATAAAATAAGTACCATGCATAATATTTTACTTTCAAATATCGACAAATAGGTGTGTAATGTTTATTCACCTTATATATGTCTCGTTGAAACGAGGTAAATTTGATATTCGTGTGGTAACCCAGCTGCATGGATCACTACACCGTGACAGTTGGCTATCACGGCTGCTTTTTTCTCCTGCGTGGCTTTCCAAAAATATAATTATGGCAATTTTCATTTCAATTAACATAAGCTGGTGGCTGTATAGCAATATTCTGTTTTTATTCCCTTTAAATAATATTGCAAATATCAAAATATAACCACACCTTTTTTTTTTTCAAAAAAAATTGTTCACACTTAATCTAGTAACCTATAATTTCAATGAAATTTAGTAGCTTAAAGTGCAGCCATTTCTAGATTTAAGGAACTTTTCATCATCATTCTCCTGCAAACGGATTTTTTTTAAAATTGTAAATGAGCAGAACAGTATCTCTAGAGTTTTTAGAGCAGCTTTTGTGGCAGGAGTGGTTATAATGTCGCTATGATCTAATCTGTTTAATACATTTGCGACAGCCGGAATGAAAAAATGATTCTCTGCTGTATCAGCTGGTCATGAAATATGAAACCTGCAACTAGTTTAGTTGAAACTGAGTTTTAAAAAATTATACTTCTCTCACCTAAATCCGTGCAATCCGTATACCAACTGCCGATTAGGGTTCCTTGGCCGCTTCGCACTAACCCACCAAGCTGGTCTCAGATCAGCTCCGAAACAAAAACCAAACGGGCTACATCTTTAAAAGCTTAAAAATAGGCGCCAGGCCAAGAATAACAGAGCTCTACGTGTTAAAAGCCTGACTGCCTATCAGAGGCTGTTGATTCCTGCAGGTGGTACCACTGGTACCAGTGACGCCCGCATGCCCTGTCCAGCGGCTACCTGCAAGGCCGATGGCTCTCGAAGCACTCCTTTTTTCCTTTTTAAAAAGTAAGAAATCACAAGCTTACATGTCAGTATGCATTCTCGAAGCATCTAGTATTATCATTAAAAAGATAATTTCTGGAGTTGATGTTAGTAAAGAACTGAATTAATTTTATTTTCAAAATAGCTAAAGTAAACTCCACTTTCCGCAACAAAATGACATGCATTCATGTCTTTCACGTGCTCAGTCCATGTTCAATCTCACTATATCAATATTATATGCCAAATTTTATTTAAACACGCTGGCCAATAGAAAACAGATTTCATGAAAGGAGCGTATAAATATATATTTTTTGTTTGATCGTGGCGAACTGTTGTTGAAAAGGTGCGTTATAAACATATGTAAACTTAAAAACTAGATGACAAATATGTGGCATTAGCCCGCCCCAGTGACACACTATGGCCCGAATGTCGAAGCGGGACTTGTCGTGGATGTTTCTGCGAAGAGCATTTTTTTTTGAAGTGTAGCCAGAGACTGAACAAACTTCATATAAACGTAGGTTGCTAGCTGATGTAATCGGGGTACAGGTTGTCCGCGCTGTGTAACGTCGTCGTTGTTATGCAGGTGACAACAAACTTAGAAAAAAAAACTGGAAGAGAAAAATGTAGGAGCATTTCAGTTCACGCTGAATTGCGATGGATAGTCGCGCGAGATCTCAAAGAACTCGAATTGGAAAATGATTCAAAGAAGAGGAAAATGCGGAGAGAAGTAGAAGCCTCCGTCGAAACAGTGGCCTGTATTCAAGCACTGCTCTCTTCTTGTAAATTGTAACCGCAATCTCAAAACACGTCCTAAAAACCACTTGCACGGAACGTCTTATTTGCGTCTTAGTAAAGCGACAAATAAGGCCGTTCTTCTCAACAGTGCTCTACCGTCCTTAAAAGCGTGTTGCTTTTGTTTCCTTTGTTCAAGTATCTTCTTAAAACCTTCGATTGGTATATGTTTCTTGTTGTTTTGTTTCCCAGTCGTAGTTTGCCAGTTCCGCTGGAATTCTACTGCTGTCGTTTGTTCGTTCAAAGCGCTCACGTGGCGGTCAGTCGCTAGCTCGGTTATCCCTAAGGAAAAAAGGGACACTTCCTACTAGCAGAGCCTTTAATGTCTTTCGCTTCCTTCTATCCCTTCAAGAAGAAGACATAAGGAGGCTTTGCTCGCAGAGTTTAAGCGACTTTAATTAAGCGACAGTCTCCCACTTGTCTAAATCAAGTGTAAAGGTGATGTCACACGGGACGATTCGCAACGACGATTTTTGGCGCAACACACCGTTGCAACGGCTGGAACAATGTTGTAACCATTCGAAACAATGTCGCAACAATATTGCAACGCCGTGTTGCGCTAAAAATCGTCGTTGCAAATCAGTCACGTGTAACATCACCTTACGGTGTTTGAAGACTAAAACAAAGTGTTCCAGGGGAGACATCTGAATATGAGAAGGAAATGGAACTTGGGTTGTTTACTATTTATAAAAAATTCCGGAAATTTTGGTTGGAGTTTTTGGTCGAAGAACGGTACGGGTCGTTTATCTAGTTACAACATGAAACTGGTACAAAACTCAAAAAACTTGTAAATGATAAACGAACTTCCATTCGGAGCGTCCCAATCGGGAAAACGGCAGAAACGGGGGGCGCTTTCCATTAGTCAAAATTTCCGGAATTTCTGGTTCGGCGGTAAATGGAACACGTTTCGTCGGCTCGTCCCACTTGAAAATTCCCAGAAAAAGTGGAAAATCTGAAAAGGTGGGCCCGTTTTCCCGGTTGGAATTTGCGAACGGAATGTCGTGTTCCATTTACGTTTCCCGTAGTTCGTACCAGTTCCAGGTCCACGGTCGGGCACCGCGACGTACCGGGGTTTAAGACCAATGGACTGCAACTTATTACCAATCGGAAATTCCACTTTTGCTCCCACCGAAATTTCGGGTTTTTTTTTCCTAAATGGAAAGCGCCCGGGACTACCTTTTCAGAATTTCCGTTTGTCCCGGGAATTTTTCGCCCCGTGTAAGGGAATCCAAGGGCGCTTTCCATTTACGAAAGAAACCCGGAAATTTCGGTGGTAGCAAAAGTGGAATTTCCGATTGGTAAAAAGTTGTTCCATTTGGTCGTAAACCCCGGTACGTGGCCGGGTGCCCGACCGTGGACCTGGAACTGGTACAAACTACAAGAAACGTCAATGGAACAAGACATTCCGTTCTTGGATTCTGGATTCCACCACCTTTTGGATTCCAGGAACCGACGAAAAGTTTCCATTTACTGCAGAACCGATTCCAAATTTTTTAAATGGAAAGGAACTTGATTCTGATTCCGGATTCGAATTGTTTTTTAGGTGGAACTTGATTCCGGATTCCTTGTTACATTCTGTATTCCGGATTCCAAGGCCCAGGATTCCGGATTCCACAAGCAAAAATTTCCAAGATTCCGGATTCCAAATGCAAAAATTTCCCGGATTCTGGAATCCGGATTCCTTTACATGGGGCGAAATTTTCCAGTGGGACGAACCAGAAAATCGTTTACCCTTTACATCCCAACTGGAATTTCCGGGAATTCGTGGTAAATGGTAAACAACCTTGGAATCCTCCATTATAAACTCTAGATCCGCCCTTGTAAGTCATGAAACATGAATATAGAACAACAAGAACGTCTCTTCAAATCAGGAACGGGTGATGGGCTTCTGCACAAATTAAGTAATGAACTAGTTTAAATTTTCGTGATTTTATTTATTTCACGGGACTATATCCTGCGTTTCGCGGACGGTTTCGCGCCTTTAGTTGGAACTTGGTCCCAGATTTTCCCCGAGCTTGTGGAACAAAAGACTGGTTCTCACCGAAGCGTGATTGTTTTGACGCAGAAGAGGGCCGCTCGTTTGCATGGGTGTTTACAATATTTTGTGACACGTTTACAGCGTCTTCCTTCAACTTTGACCTTAAGTTTGAGGGTTTTTTTGAGCTCACATTTTTTTTAAGTTTTAAGTTATGCTTCCAGCAGTCGAGGATGAAGTCAATCGTTACTACAGCGAGCTTAACTTGAAAGAGCCGGCGATACAAAATCCGTTCACTCACCGCGTTCAAATATCGCGTTGGCAGAAGAAACTAGAGGTGGGGATATATTGTTTGTTATTGTCTGTTTTGAAAAGTTGATATAAGACTGTTTTGAGTGGGGTGCCAACTTTTTTTCTTGTTGGTTTGATAACTGGTTTTTACAATGTACGAAATATGTTGTGAACGCATGTAACGCCGCCTCCCCCTCGTTTCAGATCATTTGTTGTGGCGTTTCCTCTTTCAGCTCTTTCTTTTGTATCTTAATAGGTTATTCTTCTGTCGGTTTATTAACAGCTTCGCTGCAAATATTTAGTTAAAATTTTCCTTCCTTTGTATTTTATCGGTTTATCCAGTGCTGGAAAGTGTCAGACTCGCAGAACGATCTTGTATACATCAGACAATTTTATGAATCTTTAATTGCGTAACATGTCATATCCAATGGACCACTGAAGATGATCTGGATGCACTCAAGAGGAAAAGACAATCTGATTCGTGTTCAATGAGAAAACATTGTACTGCACGATTTACAAGTTTGACAAAGATTTTTCATCCTTTTGTCTAAATTAAAAAATATTAATTTACCAAAAAAATTAACCAAACTCTAATCCATTATTTTTTTATGATTTATTATTTTGTGGTACCTGTTATAAAAACGAATTTAAATTTTTTTATCCACAAAGTCAAAAGAAAGTGCAGTTTTTGTTTAACATGCGTAAATTCCATTTTTACACCCTTAGACTTGCAGCATAGAATTTATTTATTCATTATTTACCGTCAAACTCAGAAAACTGTGAACACCGGAAAAATTTGAGGAATGTTGATTGTGTACTGGCCACTCACAATAAAGTTCATGACATGCTAGCAAACCTAAAAGCCACGAACTAATTACCGTTGCTGTTTGCAGTCTAGTTACCTCGCACCTTATTGGCTTATTTCTTGCAACGCAATAACATTCCATGAATATTTCTGGTGTTCATGGTTTTGTGAGTTTCACAGTAAATTGCTCACATTATATGTATGCTTTATCCCTAAAAAAAAATGCAAGCCAAAATGTTATTAAAGGGACTATAATCTTAACATTCTCAATGAAAAAATGGTGTTGGGAGAATCTTGCCAAAGCAGTATATTTTGTGTTTATGTAGGCAATGAATTAGCCACCACCAGTTAATTTTCCCCGTGAAATGACCTTTGGGGAATGTTCAAGCACAGAAATTCTATACAGATGATGTGTCACTACCCTGATCGGGGTATCATTTTTGATTGGTCATGCTGCAAGGGAAATTTGCTGCAACCAATATTAAGGGTAGTGAGATGTCATCAGTTTAAATTTCTGCAGTCGTTCCACAAACATCATTTTGCTGGGATTTAACTATTGGTGGTGTCATGAAATGTCAGCTGTTTTTTCAGGCTAGCACTGAATCAACAAGAGGGCAATTGCCTATTTCAGTATACCTGTTCAGTCAAGACTCTTTGCTATACAGTGTAATAATAATGAAGGGGTTGGTAGAAAAAGTCCTCAAGTGAGTTCTGGGGCGCTTTCCATTGAACGAAAAATTTCAGAAATTTTGCTTGATACATCAAATGGAACAGCCCATTTTGGTTTGGTCCGACTAGAATATTCGGTCCACTTTGACCAGTCCAGTTATCTCGGTTGGTCGGACTGAAATGTCCCTTTCCATTTGACAAAATTTTTGTCCCCAGTACTGCTCTTTTGTATCCTGCCCGCAAGAACAATGATCTAAGGCACGGTGGCTTGGGTCAGTTCTGTGCAACCACAATGTACCGTTCCATTGGGCACATGTAATTTCCGACATTTCAAATTGGAATATTTGTTGAATGAAAGCGCCCCTTATTTACTGCTATCGTCTTCTGTCAGTTTATCTTGTATGTGTGTGTGAATCAATGGGAGACTAGCTATTAAGTCACTGGGGCCTTATCCCATTCACCTTTTATATTATGTGCTATGTCAATGATTATTTTATATCCAGATGTATCCTTTTCACTCCTTTTGAAGTTTCCTTTTGTATTTTTAAGGAAAAAATATCCTATGTTTGGTCTAAAGTCAAGACTGTATCATATTGGCAAACATGATCATTTTAAAAAAATCTGAAAATTAAACTGTTTTGAGGAGGGTATGTTTTAAGCTATTTTCTGTCAACCATCGTGACAAAAAGGTCTCTAAAACCAGCATCCAAAACTTTCTTTGCAAGTTTACATTAGTGAAATTTGGTTTTAGGCATGTATGCAGATGTTAAATGGATTTAAGTTTTATTCTGCTTTACAGATTGCACTTGGCTTCATTTTCCTTTTCCCACTTCGTCTGCTTATTGGTATCCCTTTATTTACTTTTGCTGGGATTTGGGGTTATGCTGTTACTCTGGGATGGAATCCTCCAGATTTGAGGACACCACTGACACCATGGAGAAGGTAAACCTAACTCGTACTTATATAGTCTCATAGATTATTTTTGAAACCTTAGGCCTTGTTTGTACTACGACAAAAAAAAAAAGAGTGAAGTGTTTGCTAAAATTTTGAAAAATTTGTAGTTACCAAATTTTTGTTTTTGTAAAGTTGTTCGCACCTGAGACACATGAAATTTTTTGTGTAACCAAAAATATGTCGATTAAAGGAAAATCTATAATTGGTGGCAAAATAAGATTACCCAACTAAGGATAGCTGTCAAGGAACAAATGATTGTGTCGAACTGACAACAAATAAAATATTTATTGTAGGCCTCCAAATCTTGTCGATGGCATCTGTGAAGTTTGGTGACATTCAAGAAAATTTTGATGGGCTAAAAAAATTGTTCACACAAGAAATGGCTTCCTATTGACAGAGTTCCTAAAATGTGGCTGCGTGAATGTAAAAATTAAGCTGGCTAAAATTCTGAACAGATATCTTTTTTTGTATAAATCTCAAGAAATCAATGGAGCAATGCAATAGTTCTGCCTAAAAAGTTTGTCATCATTTCATTTGATTGGTAGCATATCATTCTACCATAACTTGCAGGCCTTGTAGTGAAACATGTTAAATTATTGTACAATATTACAGCTACTGTGATATGCAGTCTTGCCTGTCAGTTTAGCATCTATTAAGTAAACAGTCACATTTAGTACCATTCCTTGTTATTTTTAGATTTTAGCACCAGGAAACGGAGCCCTTTTCACACATAAGTAATAATGTTTTGATAAAAATTATGGTTTTTCTGTTTAATTTCAGGAAACTAAAAAATTGCCTTCCTGCCATGATCCGATCACTGCTGTTTGTTTTAGGCTTTCATAAGATAAGGATCAAGGGCAAGCTGGCATCGCCTTCAGAAGCTCCTCTGACAGTCATTGCCCCTCATTCTTCTTTTCTGGATATATTGCTGCTTTGTGAATATGGCTCTGCTCCATCTGGTGTGTCAAAAATTGAAAATCTCCAAAGCCCTATTCTTGGATGTAAGAGTGTTAGTGTAATAACAATAATATTGGTTGTCTTTACAATAGGCTGTTCAGTAAGACTTAAGAGCTGCTAAGTTGTTCTTAACCAAAAATGTGTGTGGGAAGACCTAAGTAAAATCTCAAGTAACTTTACTTTACATCTCATTAAATCAATCAATCTTAATTATATTGCGTGGGAAAATAGTCTAATTAAGTAAACCTGAAGTATAAAAGATTAGATAGCTGGTTGTGTGTAAAGCTTTCTTGTACTTGAAGAAATTCAAATTTACTTGTGTTGAAATATTTCTTAGCTTATTTTAAGGCTATAGTGTAAAGACTACCATTATTGCTAGCATTTTTATTTTATTAAATAAGGGGTGGCAGTGGGTTAAATTACAAGACTTGGAAAGACAAGGACAAAACGTGACTACTAGACTGCAGGTTGGATTTTATCAGACATGGACAACTTTTTTCCGACAAATGTCCAGTGACCAACTTTTATTTATTGCACTTTGTGGTAGAATATCCTCCATAGATAAGTTAAAGATTAATTACAATCACCATCTTTGTCAGGGAGGGATCCCCTAGTAATTCATGACCTTGTGGATACTTTCCTCACAGCTACATGCATGTATCTGTAATTTTTTTAAACTATCCTGTGTCTAGCTCTTGTAAATGGCCTCCCTGACTGCTAAATCATCTGCAGCTGATACCTGACTTTTATCTTCATTTTTTTTAAAAAAATAATCCTTCACTCACACTGGCTGCACTGAATAAGGTACACATGCGGTCTGCCCCAGCCCAGTCCTTTCTCCTCACTCGAAGCCTGTTCCTTTAGTACATGTAGGTGTTCCAGTTGCTTTGTAATGGTGAACATATGCATTATATATAGCTTGATATGGTACAGTGGGCTTGTTGAACACATATGCCCATAATAGAGGCTCATACATATACTGTACCTTGTCCATACAGGAAGGTAATTTTTCTTATTCCTGTTTCATTTTTTCCCATTTGTAGACTAAGTCCTATCTTTTTGTTTCAGCACTTTTTCAATCTCTTGAAGCAATAGGTGTTTCAAGAGATAATACAAAATCAAGACAAGCAGCTGTAAAAGAACTTCAGTACAGAGCAGTCACTACAAGAGGACAATGGCCCCATGTCTGTATCTTCCCTGAAGGTAATATGTAGTAATTAATAATAATTATAATAAAAAGCTGACAATGAATGTATATTACTGAAGAATGTTAATGTTAGATGTACTTTGTTGAATAAGTCCCCCACAGCCATATGAAAATTTACTGTGTCAATATATCTGAAAAAAATTATTTATTACATATTATTATTCATTCAACATATTTCCCCAATTCTGAAATTCAGGAAAATCACATGTTTAAATTCACAAAAACAGTTAAAAATGACCAAAATTGGAGAAATTTATCAAACAACAAATGTCTGTAAAAATTACTTCAGTTATAAGGGCTATTTAGTTGCTGTAAACTTGGGGATTTATCTTGGAACTTTTTCACTGAAACTTAAAAACAACGGACCCGAAACTACCAGGTGTAGAACTATGTTGCGCTAAAAACATGGGCACCAGCAAGAAGACAAAGGCTTTGCCATTGGTTCATTTGGAGAATATTGTTGCTGAAAGACAAACCTGAACACCACTGTTAGAAATATGAACTAAAAACACTGGTCTGATCAGCGCAAAACCAATTTTAGCTTCTTTTTCAAACTTGGAATTAAAATAACCACAAAATCAGCGGTTTTTACCGATTGCTTTTTGGGGAAGTTTGCCCCAAAAACTCCTGCGAAATTAGCCGACTTTTCCGCAAATTTGTCCCTAAAAATCCCGCAAAATTTGACTTTTTCTTCTGCAACCTATCCGAAGCCCTGTAATTATGAACCTCTGATTACCTGACCACCTCATAACCGACCACCTATCCAAAACACCAGTCAAAGCCTTGAGGTTGAAACCTCTTGGAAACAACTTCCACTCTTGAGTCACCAGGACCTAGGTTTTTGGGGTGTTGGTTATGATTCAGCGTATGTGCAGTGTAAGGGATCACTTGACCGATAGTCTGTCATCTTTTGGTTTTCACTGTATGTACGTATTAACATGCTACTCTGATTATATTGGACCTCTACACACAAAAGACCCCCTTGATTACCACAAAACTGTGCCTTTTTTTCAGGTACTTGTACAAACAGAAAATGTCTGATATCCTTTAAAAATGGTGAGGGCTACCTTTATTGGTTAAAACTAATACAAAAATTACATTAATTTTATTTGTTAGTTGTAAGTTCACCTACACTGTAGGTACTCAAATGTGCAAGACTGTACAACTATGCCTTCGTGTACATGCATTACAATCACCCTATTGATTTTATATTCATATTTGAGTTATAGTTGAAGGTCTTCTTGGTGGACACTATTGTAAGGAGGCAGGGCTAGATCCACCCTACAACCACCTTGAAAAATTCTCTAAACAACTATGTAACTTTCTTTTTACAAGAGCCATTCCCATAAAGAGCCATTGTAGTTGCAGCCTTTTTTTCCTTCTGGAGGGTGTCAATTATTTAAGGGAAGTTTGACTGTAGTTCATTAAGGTTTTAGGGCCCCTGTCAGCTGGGTAGTTCTGCTGGTTCAGTTCTTATGTGCGCCTCTTTTACTCGGTTTTTAAAACTTTAGGAGCATTCATACCAGGATGCCCTGTGCAACCAGTGTGTCTTCGCTTCCCAGAACAACCTGTAAGTTCTGTACTTTACCCCTAGCTTACCCCATTGATGCAACTATTAATTAATGTAGTACTGGGAGCAAAAGTTGGGAAAAAATGAGGTAACTTTTAACAACCAAACAGCAACATCTACATAAAAACTCCAATTTTTTGCTAGTATACTTAGTTTTACGCAATTCATTATTTGGAAGAAATGTGTTGCCAAACTCTCGATCTTTATCTATAACACTTTATAGTAGTTAACCCAACCATATAATTGGTAACATGCATGTTACTTTAAGTTATAACACTTTATAATGGGCTTTGTGTCACTCTGCACCATCTCTGAGTGGTGCCAGGCATTTACCTACTTACTTGTTAATTAGTACATGTATTTTTCTGTATCTCTACATATCTTTTTTACCATGTGTGTTTATGTATAATTCTGATAAAAAGCTGTTTTTCTGTCTTTTTACGTAGGATGTTTATACTTGGACATGGGATGGCCCCGGAGGGTAAGGAAATTGTTGCAAATAGAACAAAAGTGCAGCAGTGCCTTTATAATTCATGTGCAACATGTATTTGTACTTAATATACTCATGCCTGGATACAGCTCTTTCTCTACCCAATGATCTCTTGTCCTAAAATGCATAGACTTGATAAATATTGCTTTTCAGAAACTAATTGACCTGACTAATAGGTTGGTGTATAGGTTGACACAAGGCATTGAGGCCCACATTCATGGCCGGGGCTTAGTTAACCCGGTTCCAGTAGAATGAAACACTTAGGAGTATAATGCCACACCCTCCTTGCTGGGATGCTGGTCCATTCCTGGGCTACTCCTGCAGCAGTACATTGCTGGTGCCCATTTATACACCTGAACTGGGTTCAGTTCAAAGCTGGGTTAAGATAACCCAAAGTTAGTGCAAAATTTGAATTCAGATATGAAAGGGTAAAGAGCTAATTGAGTTTAATTCTTTTGTCTTCAATATGACAATTGAATACTCTAAAAAGAATAGAGAACATTATTAGAGAAAATGCTTTTGAACTGAGGAAACAGAAATCTGGGTAAAAATTTAACCCCAGATTAGTGCTAATTGTCCTTCAAACATTTTGCCCCTGGGTGAAGAGGAGCAAAGTCTATAGAATCAACAAACAGCAATGTTTGAATCTGATGGGTTATTTAGGTGTTAACTTCTTGGCTGTCACACCTCCACCTGACTAATAGTTATGTTCTCGTTTTTGATATTGTTATTTCAGGCTGATATTGACTATTTTACTACTGTGCCAGTTGAACAATGTTGCTGAAATAGAGGTACATGTAATCCTACAGAAACGTTCTTGTCTATCCCCACACTAACCTCATTTAAGAGCTGTGTGTTTCTCCTTTTGCATGTGGTCCCCAAAATAGTTTGTTTTCTTTATAATAACAAACTGTTTCCTATAAAAGCCATAAATTGACCATAAATCTGCTCATAGCCCCCGATGGGAAAGACGAATCACACTTGTAACTTAGATTGTAAGCAACGTTGGTCAATGTTTATTTTTAAATCCTTTTACATCCGTAGCTTACAGAAACAATCATTTTTCTCCCATACACTTCTTATATTTCGAAAATTACACAAGAATGCCAATGGTCAAAATATACATTTTATACAAGAATCTTTTGTGGTTAACTTCGAAAAATGCAGGTTGTTAATACAGAGTATAACCATGTGTGTTTTAATAATATTGTATTTGATATCTCTTACCAACAGTTTCTACCTGTCTGGAATCCTACGGAGGAGGTAATTGATATAATTTTTAAGTACTAGGTACACTAGTTTATGTTTATTAGAGATAGATACAGCAGCAAGTATAGAAAGTATGAGGGACATTCTCGTCACAGAGGATACTAAATAGGCTGTTACTGGTTGCAGGAAAAAGAGAATCCTGAACTCTATGCTGAACGCGTTCAACAGTCTATGGCAAGGTGGGTTGTACTATAAGGACCCCAATATATTAATAGAATGTACACTTCAGTGTTCCTACAGTTATGCAATTCATTCCATCCATTTTTCCTCATAATTTTACTGAGTCATTTTGCCACAGATTTCACATTAGACAATGGAATATACCAAATGTGTCCATTTCAGAACAAATTCTATTCATTCAGAGCACTGCTCAGATACATTATCCTCTCATAACAGCCGGTACTCATCAAACATTGGTAAGAAGTTTATTTACCATGCATATACAACTCAGTTGTACATGTAGTTATGCCGCTACTGTAACTGTCTTATCAACCGATGGTTATGTTTGACATCTCTGTAACATCGGTAAGTTTTCTTTATTTTAAGTAATGCCTCTCAATTTCAAACTGATTCTGTTTTGTACGTGCTTATTTTTGGTGAATTGAGTAAATGTCAATTTATGTAAGATTGATATTTTACAAAATACAGATTGACTTATCTGTCAAACACGTGGGATGGGAAATGCATAAGACAAAGGTGTCTGAACTTCCTCTTGGCTCAGATATTGTTATATTTTCTTGTATTTTTCTCTGAACATGTAGCGCGTAAAAAGGACTGCAAAAGAACTGAACATGATTTTGAAATAGAAGTGCAACGGGTTGGGTTGTGGTGGTGTTAATGCCCCCACCCTCCCCACCCTCACCATAATATGCGTGTAATTGGCTTTTTCCCTCACTCTTCTCCATGCTTTGGGAAGTGAAGAGGTCGTGAACTGAGTATTTTGGCTAACCAGATATCCTCTTAGGTCTTAATAACCTCTCCTGTTTGGATGGGTACACTGTTCTTTTTGTGTCTGTTTGAGCTGTATACAGTACCACAGTTGAACCTCTGCTAAACGGCCACCTTGGGGACACAAGAAAGTGGCCGTTGTAGAGAGCTAGACAGTAGGGAGCTTAAGCAGTGACTTTTTTGAGCGACGCACGTCAACCGGAAGTGAGGTATTTTCCCTCTTAACATGCCTTGATGATATAAAATTTGTATTCCTTAGCTTCTTTACTGTTATAGAGGCGATTTGACTGAAAATTTGCGCGAAACCACCGTCAAAAAATGAAAAAAAGGCCACTTCCGGTTGACGTGCGTCGCTCAAAAGCGTTGCTGCTTAAGCTCCCTAATGGCGGATCCAGACCTTCAGATAAGGGGGAGGGGGGGGGGGGGGGGGGGGTCTCCAAAATACATTTTTTCGGCCCTTCGGGTCTCATTTTGGTCGAAAAATAAGGGGGGGTCCCGGGCCCCGGGCCCCCCGGACCCCTTCCCTGGATCCGCCACTGCTAGGTTTAAACCAGAGTCGATGTATGGACTGTCCACCAAAAAATTGGCCGTTGTAGAGAGGTGGCCGCTGTTGAGAGGTGACCGTTAGTGCAGGTTGGACTGTACCTTTTTTCGTAGGTGTTTAAATGTTCCTGTGACAGGCCACTCATTTGAGGACACCCTTCTGATGGCTGCAGCTACTACTCACGGCCTTCCACCTGAAACAGGTGTCATAGAGTTCAAGAAAACTGCAACAAAGCTAGGGTAATTTTTTTTCTCGTTCATGTACTCTATTGTAGAATACATAAAAATAAGACAAGTATAGAAGAAATATAGGAAGCAAAAATCAGGAAGGGCACAGTATAGGATAGTTACATTAAATTGCAATGATTATCATTAATGCTACTTTTATCAGTATAGCTCATTACTTCAATGATATAAGGTCTATAAAGCACGCCGCGATCACCATCGGATATATACAAGTAAATATGAGCGCTGCGAGTTGGCAGCTCGCTAGGATCCACGCGCGGTCCATGCACTGCGCGCGCGACAATATTATAAACTCACTTCGCTCGGCGCTTTAAAGGTTAAAAGGTTAAAGGCATGTTTATAGTGGAAGGTGCACTTAGCTAGTCAGCTAATTTACAGGCACTCCACTCAAATATTTAGAAACAAATAATTCAAATACAACATAACGGGATTAAAAACCCCAACTGGCAGAAGGCTACCAGTTGGCTATTTACAAGCGTGGCCGAGAATTTGAACTCGGGACGACCGAGCACAAATCCTGCAAGTGGCCAGAGCGGGACTCGAACCCGGGACCGCCGGATTGCGAGTCCGACGCGCTGACCACTCGGCCACGCTGCCTCCCCAAGGAGGAATTAATAAACTAGTAGTTTGAGAATCCATCTGCCGATGGTAACCCGACTGATTAGTAGTCAGAGACTAGAGATAGATCGGAATAAGTGAAACTTAAAATCTCTCAGGTGTCTTCCTGACTGTACCTCAAGAGTGTTGAATTTGATTGTCCTCCAGGTTGAACTTAGATTCCGTAAAAGAGCACCTCAAGAGATTTGCAGCTCTGGATTCTGATAAAGATGGGCAAATATCTCTACAAGATTTTGCACTTCATTACAAGCTACCTATCTCTAGTCCTGTTAAGGAGCTCTTTTCCATCTTTGACCGGGTAATTAAGGACTTGATTTTCACAACGTTCTCTTATTAGGTTCGGAAAAGATAGTTTTTTGTGAGAGAAAGGAGTGGACAAGCGTTCATTGCGCCTTTGTGACCTGTTGGTTTGCGGTCAGCATGGTTCACGCCTGCGATGGAAGCGCAAGTATATTCACTCGTTAGCATTAAAACTAAAAGAAAAAATTGCATTTTCCTTCTAGTTGCGTTTGCGTTTATCCCAAGCTGCGTTTTCCCCTTGCTTCACGCGTTAAGAACGTGAACGTGCCAAAAAGTAAGAGTGCATGGCAGTTAAAGAGTGCGTGCTAAATCGAAATCACGAAACATTAGGGAGGTCACTATCATAAAGCGAGGGAGATTTTCAGCGACGCACATCAGCCGGAATTGAGCACTTTTTCCATTCAATTAGCTATAACGCTTCCAAATTTGTATTGCTGAGTGCCTTTAGTCTCATAAAGACGATTTGAGAAAAAAATTGGGTAAAATCATTGCCTAAGAATGAAAACATTCCAATTCCGGCTGACGTGCGCCGCTGAAAAACGTCTTTGCTCAAGATCCCTATGACGCGCGATGGTGTCGGGTTGCGTGGGCCTCGTCAACGTCCGTCCACCGGGAACTCTGGGAAAGAGGCTTTAGCTTCTTATGTCTGAAGTGCTATAAATTGTGCGCGGAAATATAGTAAATAAAGGAGGTTGAACCTTTTTGGTCTATTTATCTTTCTTCGAGTATTCTTTGCCTCCTTCCCATATAGACTATGTAGCCAGCGTGCCGAATGCGCCGTCCAGGAATTCCTCCTCTATGTCCTTTCTTTTCTATTGTTTAGAAGAGTAACGGCGTTATTAACTTCCGACAGTACTTGGTAGGATCAGTTTGTTTGGCCAGGCTAGCAGCGAAAAACGAAATCGCTGAGAGTGCTTTAAAGGTATTGTTTAACCTATCTTTTAAAAGAGAATTAGCCTGTCAGTGTTCCAGGCGTTTAAATCGTGGGGACGGCATGTGACCAGAAAAGGGATGATTCTCCTCTCTCCGTCTCTCTCTCCCTCCCCCGCTATTTTTTTCCCGTTCTCTTACTTCGAGACGCACTCCACTATCAAAACGCCTGGAACAGACTAAAAGAGAATACCTTGCCGAGATATTCTGTTATATGTGCATGGCGTTTCGGTTTATTTATTACATAGCCTTACTTATGCCGTGGTCAAAATGTTTCAAAGATTTTGCAGGAGTATAGCAAGCCAAACAACAAGCAAGTCATCCCTGACAGCAACATAGAAGATATTTTGAAGAGAATTTTACAGATTATTGATAACACAAACTATGACAACCATAACGTGAGGAGCAGAAACGGTAAGTATGTCTGCATGGCACTGAAAAGTTATTGCCACATTTTTAGGGGGTGATTTGACGTTCATACCTTTGTCTGCGCTTAAGGTACGGTTAAACGGGCAACAAAAAAAGGGGAACTTGTCATGCAACATTGCTGCAAAATGAGTTGAATAGCGCTGTTGCACGTTTTACCACCCATATCATCAAATCTGTTTTAACGAGGGTGGTAAGACGCGCATCATCGCTTTTCAATTCGGGCGTTTTGCAACAACAAGTTGCACGTTTTTGTTACAGTTGTACTAACCGGAGATCAGGGGCCCGTTTCTCGAAAGTCCCGGTAACTTTTCGGGCCCGAAATCAAATATTCAAATCGAAATATAAAGAATAAGCTAAGAGCGCGGGTCCTGGCTAACAAACTACTCCATTTTGTTTCATTGACTGATAGTTTTATCACTTTAGATGCAAAACTTATTGAAACCGCGATCTTTAATGTAAACGGAGACAGCTTACCGGGTTCGTTAATTATCGGGACTTTCGAGAAACGGGCCCCTGGCTCTCTTTTCGTTTCGCGTTGTAAATAACATTCCGGCGGGCAAGGCGGGGCTACGTAAGAGAGAATGTATGGGAACGGCTAGAATTGAGCCTGATCTCAGGTTACCGTTTTACCGAAGCTTTAGACAAGACAAACAAGATAAGACATTTATTACCTTTAGCTTAATATTATGACTTACAATTTCTTGGCACGCAGTTAGCGTAAAAGCTAGTAGTGGCTTGCCAAATTAGTTCAGTAGAAGATTACAAACATCACCTGATAATAAGTAGCCTGTTCCAGACTCCGAGATAGTCGGGTCCGCTGAATTGAGCAAGCGCGAACATAGAAATATAACGGGAGGAAACTGGGGAGAGGAGGGGCCTTTTTCCTCTTCCCCCCTTTTTTTTTCTCGCCCCGCCAACTTTTCGCGTGCTCTTCACTTTTGCGTCTTCCCCACTATCTGAGAGCCTGGAACAGGCTAGATAATAAGTAGATACTAAATATGGAGGTAACTACAGTTTCTCATCAAACTCTTTTTATCTTGTGCTCTTGCCTATTAGTTGTGGTCGCCATCATGGAAGCTGTTTCTCCACTTTATTTCCGCATCGATTTAACATGAGGATTTATATTTTTTTGCAGAGGAGTTTCAAGAATTTCTCTCCTGCTATCCCGAGTTGACTACATTACTATCAACTTTGATGCCAAATAAGACTTCCGTTGACAATCACCCCAGAGAGTCGATACTTATCTAAAAATATTATGTTAGTCTGCAAATTTAGTTTGCACTCGTGTGGAAAATTATGTCATAGAATAGGTCTCACTTGAAGGAACTGTATTAGTTGCAGTCTTGACGGACATTTTTTACCAAGATTGGAGTCATTAGAAAGACAGGGACGTGCACCAGTCACAGTCTTGTTAATTTGCCAAAGTTTCAGTTGGGTTAGAAAATGTGATAGGTTAATGCATACAAATACTTTAGGATTTAGGGATGATTAATTTAAATTTCACAGGGTTTAGCAAAAAGCTAGATATTTAATTAAAGTAAATATTTAAACTTTATCAAAGAAATTAATATGAAACTGTATGATGTTTTTCAGACACATCCCAAGTTTAATTGCGATACGCTTTTTCAAATATTTCGTAGAAAAGTGTAGTATTAGTAGTAGATTGTATCAGGTAATTTGTAGAAAAAATTAAATTCGTTAATTCTTGTATGAAATTAGAAAACTATTATACAATTTAATTCAATTAGCAATGTCAGAGGTAGCCCAGGCTTTCAAACATGGGCGTCGCCACTTATGCGTAACCTTCCGAATGTAAGAATTTGTATAGGGGAAAAAACGATTGTTTCAATCTGTAACCTACATATGCGACGAGATTTAATAGGAATAGTGCATGCCTACCCTAATATTATAGAAGATGAATGAAATGCAGTATATATAATAAACACAGTATCTATTAGTATAATACTTTATAAGAGAGAATTACTACTGCAATGCTGACAGTACGGTGCAGAATTATTTAAAATAATGTACAGTGTTTTAAATTCGCTTGTAAATGTTCAATTGTATATCCACTAGTAATTTATATTTGAAAAAAGTTCACAGAGAACGTTGTTATTTAATACGAATTTTGACATAAAGCTTTTTTGAACAAGTAGAGAGGTGAAAAGGTGGAATGTTTACTAGGTATGAAAGGTTTCATTAAAGGTCGACTTTTCTCTCAATTTCAGCGAGAGAGTATTTATTTAGACTCGAGCAAAACGCGAGACACGCAAATGGCCACGCGCGTGACTGATGGCGCGAGACGGGAGAGGTACGAAAAAAGAGAGACTCTGTTTTCTTCTCGGGCTGCCACCCTCGTTTCACGCTTCTCGCAGCTTCCCCGCTCTCGCGCGCGTGCATTGCTCTCACTATTAACATGTATTAAAATCTGAAGAAAAAGAGAGACTTGCTCGCAGTCTAGTATTTATTATTTTTTATAAAAGGAAATTCCTCTACGGAACGCGATCATCATACGTACAAGTACTGTAAACCCCAGGTCCAGGGTGTTTCAACGTTGGAAGGACCGTTGGAAGAGCCCATAAGCGAGAGCGCGCAACTTCCATAGCCGATAGGAGAGCTTTAGCAACAACGACGGCGTTTGATTTGCAAAACAACAAATTTGCACGTGCATCACACTTTTGTGAACATTTCTTTGCCGTCACTGCACGACTATGGAGCAAACGACCTCTTTCTAAACTTGAGTCCGGTCCCCAAGAATCAACTCCAGGGAAATTCGCCTACATTTGACATTTTCAGTAAATTGGAATAAACTCAACAGGGTTTGAAAAAACGCGCGAATTCATCCTTCAGCGGGGGAGCGTTGCGTGACAACACTGAAACGGCTGTGTAGCAGACTATTCAACCCTTCAGTAAAAACGGCTCGAATGTCTCTAGAAAAAGGTACAATATTTTAAAGGGCACAAAAGACTCATCTTAAGTCCTGGGTGCGATATATATTTGGGGGTTTCATCTGGGGTAAAAAACGAGGAAATTTTGTCCCCCTTGCAGAGATGGGGAACAGAACGGGCCAGTATCCAGGAGTATCCAGTACGGTCTGCGGTGATCGTGTTGTAACGATGACCTTATTTGGAAGATGAACCAACACGCGAAATCACTGACAAACTGAAGCGAAATATTTTCGTGAAATGATGTGTTTACGTGATCCCCGGAGGTAATTTGCAAAACGCCGTAAGTGGTTGAGACTCAGCTCAAAATGACCGAGGTACCAAAGAGGAAAGTTATTTTGCGAGCCAAATCATTCATTGAACCTGAGGTTCAAAACCCTTTTACTTATCGCCTTGAGCTAACCGCCTGCGATAAACTCAAGGTGAGTGAAATATTGTCATGTCCTTTTCCCAGGTCCTGTCCTTTCCCTGTAGGTCGGAAACACAGTGTCTTTGTTAAGATAAAATCAGGCCCAGAAGTCGAATGTTTTTTGTTTGGAAGAATAGAAAACCTTCGAAAATGAATTCATCTCCCAGCTGAATGAAGGTAAACAAAGCCTGTTTCAATGCAAATATCTGCAGATGATATCAGCCTTGCCATTTTGCCGCCAGAATTTGTGAATTCTTCTTTCTGTATCAAAACTCTAGTAAATGCGTAATATTGATGGAAAATTTAGTTTAAGTTTATGCCCTGTTTTAGCTAAAACCGTGAGTGAGACAAAAATAAAAGCGAACCACTCTGAAAATTTTGGTGCTTCGATGCGGATCGTATCACAACAGACCCAAAACAAATAAGCTTCCCGGGGGAGGGAGATGGGGGGAGGAAGGGGTGCAAATGGCAAATTTTGGTCTCACTTAGGGTGATCAGGACATAAAGCTAATAATTTTACTACTGCAGATATCACTTATGTAAAGAAATGTATAAAATAATGGGGCTTTCTTTATCTTTTACTTGCGCTTTGCCCGCAGTACTGCCTTAAGCTACATCGATCCCTGGCCCTGGTTGTTTAACTTGGGATTGCACTATCCATGGGGTAAATCACTGTCCAGCGGATAAGGACATTTAAAACTTTAACTCAAGATTTCTCAATAGGACAATTGCTGATGATGTCATTTTACCACAACAACCAGAATCCTTCAGTTTGTTGTTTTCTTGTGCAAATTGGGGCTATTGTTTAATCCTCAGTTGAATTTTCTAATTTAAATAAGAAAGCACAAACAAAATGAATTCTGGTAGTTGTAGTCAATTGTTGTCACCTTGAAAATGGCCTATTTCTCATTTTTTTTTAAAATCATTTTTAGATTTCATTGCAGACATACTAATTTTTTTGTTTTACAATATTTTCATTCCAGGTTGCAGTTCTTAGCTTTACTTTGTTTCCTATTAGGCTTCTCTGTTTGTTTTTTCTGCTTCTTCTGGCAAGCTTTATAGGAACACTAGCTACTGTATGCATGAAAAAAGAGGAAGAGCCTCAACCTTTGTCAGGATACAGAAGGTTATTAATAGCTGCATATTATATTTTAAATTATTTATGTTTAAGGATGACTTGTAGACAAGATACCTGAGACCCTTGTTTGAAAAACTGAGACCTTGCAACAAACATTTTGAGATGCACTTCTAGATGGAAAGAAAGGCAAAAATGACTGTGACATACTTATCATAAAATAATGTTTTCAAAGGTTTGGGATTGGATACCGTAGTTTGCAGTTTTCCAGAACCATATGCCGATGATGCAAGTGAAATATAATATTTATTTACTTAAGACAAAAAGTGTACTTGGTCTGTCTTAAGGTTAACTGTACAGTATATTAAATTTTGTCCCATGCAATGCCAATGATGGGTAGGATTAAGCAGGAAATGAGGTGCATCCAGTATTTGTCAAATCTTAAAGGTCAAATCTTAAAGGTCCAGTGGCAAGCAAATGTCATAGATTCGATAGTACAATATGGCTGCAGCTTAGGAAAGAGCTCATCACATGACTGTGACAAACTTGTACTGTGTAAATCAGCCTTATTTCCTACGTGTTTCTTTTCAAACTATTCAGGATTATGAGGAAGCCACTACGGGGTATTGGACGAGCAATGCTGTTCTGCATGGGTTTTCACTGGATCAAAGTCAAAGGCCGACTTAGTAGCCCTGAGGAGGCTCCTATTCTTGCAGTAGCACCACATTCGTCATTCATTGATGCCCTTGCATTAGCTGTAATTTGCATCTCATCACCCATTTCTCGCAAGGAGAATGAATCTATACCACTTGTAGGAGGTTTGTTTAATCTACACTTCAGAAGCTGGCAACAATTAAGCTTGAGGCACCAAAATGTTTTTCATTGTCCCAGACTATTAAATGGATCGTCAAACTTTGTTTCTAAAGCTTGTATTGTACTCACAGGTTTTAATTTGGCTAGTATGCATGGCTGGCAGATGTAGTGCGTTTCACAAATAAGAAAAAAATACTGATACTGAGATTTTAGTTCAATCAGATATAATATATCTGAAGCCTGCATTCATGGTTGTGTATCTTATACTTCAACTTTGAGTTATGACAAAAACTCTTAAACTCATTTTCTTTTAGTTCCCCATGATATGTCTTTACAAAGCTCTAAAAAAGGAAATTTTGTGAAAAGTATCGGTAACATAACTTACATGATGAAAAACCTGACACACAGACCTCAGGGCTGTGCTCTAGCAAAGCAAAGCCTGGCGGCTACTCTAGCACCCTACTTTTGCTCGTGGGAAACTAGAGAATAGAAATCCTTTGCTGAGCGCCCTAGATTTCTCAGGATCAGAGCACCAGACTCCCTTACTTTTTTTCTTTAGAGCACAACCTTGGACCTGAATATTGGCAAAATAATTTGTTTAGTTTATGTCACCTGTCATATTCCAATTGTATGACTTCATAGGGTGCTTTGGATTATTATTTATAAAATGACTAAGATAGTGCACGCACTCTGATTGGCAGAGAGGCGTGTTTGCATGAGAGTATGTACACATGGTTGGGACGTTTTTGAGTTGAAAACACAACAACTTTACTTTATTCACCCATTCCCTCGTCGGCTGAAACTTGGAAAATCTTTACAAACATGCTGTGTCAATTTTTTTTGCTTAAGCTGATGTTTTAAGCGAGAAAAATCCATGTTTTGGAAAGTGTCTTTTTTGCAAAACAAGAACTGATTACGCATGCAAGACTTTGTGTACAAAACTGCGTGACTGGTAAGAATTTTTCTTTTTATCAGTGCCAGAACAAAGAATTTTGCATTTTGTCTTGGTAAAGTTAATTTATAAAAGCAATAGAAAACATAACTTTTTTCCCCTATTGGCATAGCCTGATATAAACACTTGTGGGGCTGGGAGAATTTCTTGACAGTTGTGCGAGCCCTAGACTTTGTCTCAGATTTGCAGAGCTGTCTCAAATTCTCCCAACCCCTCTCATGTTTATATCATGTTTACATCAGGCTATACAAACATGGAAAATGTTTTCTATTGCTTAAGGTATTTGCACAGGCAAATTTTCAACATTTTATTTTGCCCTCAAAATCTTTCTACAGTAAGTTCAAATGACGTAATATGCATATCTGGTGTTCTTTTTTGAATATACCTTCGCATCTTTCAGCAGCAATATGAAAGTTGTTGCCATTTCCTTCTAGATACTGCATGCGGAATCCTTTATGACTTGATATGTCAATGATATTATTCCCCCTTCTCATTACGTAAAAAAGCTGAATTTGATTAGTTATTTATGATCTGAAGAAGGACCATTTTGACATGTAAATCCCACAGTTTGTGCTAAAGCCCTTCAGCCTGTTTACGTGTCAAGAACAGATCCAAATTCAAGAAAAAAGACAATTTCTGAAATAAAAAGACGAGCAACTTCTGGTGGAAAGTGGCCACACATAGTTATATTTCCTGAAGGTTAGTAGATTTATCTCTGGTGGGAACAAGTAGGTTCTTTCTCTTTCTTCCTGGTCCTGACCTCAGCTGATTTTCCCGACTCTTTCCATGAAAGGTCACGTGTCGTTGGGCTTTGCATTTATACCAAAAAAGGGGGTAAATAACTAAAACAAGAAACAAGATACAAATTAAAGAGAATGTTTTGTTGGAGTTTTTTACTTATGCGGTTATGGAGTGGGTTAACTTGAAACCTGCTATGGTGTCCCTGTGCAATTAGCTTTCCATAATACTATGCTATGATTCTTATGCTCAAGGGATTTGCCCTTTTCTTCTAGGAGGTAGGGCCCCATTTTTCGAGTTTGCAGAAGGCTCACCAACAAGTTATAATAATAATAATAATAATAATAATAATTTAATTTAATTTAGTTTACTTGGTGCTTTAATTTATTTCCTCTTGCAGGATGGCCCATTAAAGACTGTCTGTCTTTGTGCTTTTTTTTAATTAACAGATCATTTTGGCTTTAACTGCTGAATTTCTCAGTTTGTAACTTATATTTGCTCTTCTCAGGAACATGTACAAATCGAAAATGCCTGATCACATTTAAGCCTGGTTAGTACAAATAACTTGAATATTTGTTGAAACTTGAACTACTCTGGAGAATTATTCTTTTCACTGTGACTAATGGCCTCTTATGTAGACATCCATAGGGCTTTGTTACACATTTCTCCTTTACGAACGCATAAATAAAGCCCTCATAAAAACGTCTGCTTTGGAGTCTAACTGTAAATCTGATCTTTTGCTTGTTATGTGATTTTCTTTTCATTTTTTGTCCTAAATCTGTTCATTGCGTATCAACCAATCAGAAAGTTCCTTTTCCTTTCAGTTCCTTTTCTTCAACCGTCAACCTATCGGAATGATTTTTCCCTTTATTTTATCATCAAGCCCTGCCAAAAAATGTTTAGTATACTAAATAGATATGACATTTCATTTTTTTTCTTGGGTCTATTTTCTCAGGTTATGTTTTTGTTGTGTCAATAGGTGCTTTTTACAGTGGCTGTGCTGTTCAACCAGTTGCCCTAAAATATCCTAACAGGCTGGTAAGTGAAAAAGTAGTGTATAAGACTGTAAGGGAGGGTTTACTTGACACCAGGGCAACTTAACACCGGCGCAAGTTCACTTCAGTTACCTCTAATGGCTCAGTGTATTTTTTTATATGATACCACCACAAAATGTCATTCCCATGTGAGTCACACTGGCTTGAGTCCACCCCAGTTGTTGTACTGGAGTGAGAATTTTCACTCCTGTATGAAATTTTACAACAGTACCATGTAAACATGAAACGGCCACTTGTTTTGGTATGAAATCGCGGGTCTGCCGATAGACTGGAATGGGTTAAAAAAGTACATGCGTAATGCGTAAACAGATTTTGCCACTCCTTAATATAAATTGGCCCTCTGTTATATTTCAGTCCCCACTGCATTGAGAAACAATGAGGACGATTTTGTCCCAATATTTTGGCATCTTGCTTGCTGGGAAACTGATGCTTTGCAGACAAAGGAAATTATTGAAGATAAGAAAGTAAAGGAGCTTGCCATTAGTTAGAACTGGATTGCCAAATCAGTCCAGTGGTAAAGAGAGTCAATTCCACTGTTAGTCAGGGCTGTTCGGCCACTGGTTAGTCTGCAACACCTAAAATGTGAGCCCAGAAGTTACAGATTTTAAGCAAAATCTGTAAAAAAGCCCATTTCATTGTTAAAATGAACAGTCCAACTGACCAATTAATTGCCTTAGCTTACACTCATTTTTCTTAAACTTTTTGTGCATGTAGGACACTGTGACATGGACATGGTCTGGGCCAAGTGCGTAAGTCATCATCTGTTTTCATCCTAGTTTTCAATAATCAGAATTCAACACTTGGGACTTCATCTTGGGACAATGAGTGTAATCATTTAACATACAGCATGTTGTAATAAGCAACAATTTCAATAGGCCATTTACGACCTTGCCCAGGCCTCTGTATCAAAATGCGGTTTAGTGCTCAGCCTTTGATAAGGAAATGATTTTTTATCCTCAGGCAATTGCAATTTTAATTGCATGAGGATAAAAGATAAAAAAACTCATTTTCACAGGAAAGGTTGTGCACTTGGCCTCATTTTGAAAGTGAGGGTTTTTTAAACTTGAAAGTAGCCTATTTTGAGTATAATTATTATGTAAAGGAAATTGTTATTCTTTTGTTTTAGAATCACCCTTCTGTGGTTGACCTTATGCCAGTTTCACAACTACATGGAAATAGAGGTATGATTTTTGCTTGTTATATCTTTTGAAATGAGAATTGCATGACTGGTTCAGCAAGAGTGTTGTTTAGGTTAAAGTTCCAGATGATGTTTCCTAGCTCAGTTCATATTCTCTCTTTTGTCATTGACAGATTCTGCCTGTATACAAGCCTGATACTGAGGTACATTGCTGGGATATATCTTATTTATCTAGATAGGCCGCTTAGCGTGCCAGTAACCCTTTGGACCAAGTTATGAAGGGGCGATTTGTTACTCAAACTTAAAAATCTGTGGAGGAAATCCTGTAAGTACAGTAACCTCTTTAGCAGACATTTTACATGGTGCTATTTATTTCTAAGGATTTTACAGAAAGAAATTTGGAACTGTTGTTAACTTCTCTTTTGAAAGAGTTAATATTTATAACTCTTCTGTCAGAGCTCATTTAACTACTGACTTTTATTATAGGAAATGCATGATGGCAAGCTATTTGCAAGAAGTGTACGAGAACAAGTTTCAAGGTGTAACATAATTGTATTGTGTTTAGTGCTTAGTTCCATCTCAACAACGTTTCTAGTCTGCACTGTAAAACACGTTGAAAGATGACATGACTATGGTACAAAAAAACTTTTCTAGGACTAGAGAAGAAAAGAATCTTTCGCAGCATTCTCTTATAGTAGCAACTTTGTCTAACGGCCTTGAGATACACGCCCTCCCTTCTCCTCTACCCTAACAGCAAGTGTAGTTGTCAAATTGAATAGCAACAAATTTTTGGCCAATGTTGCTCCTTTTTTGTTCTCGGCCCAAGTAGCGTTTTAAAAAGGAGTCAGTTAAGAGCCAATGTAAGTATAAAGTTGGCCTGGCAGTTTTAAAAAAGTCGTTGTTTCCTTCGTTACAGAGTTTTACGGGTTCCTGTTACAGAACACACATATGAAGACACACGTCTGATGGTTCAGGCATCCAAACAAAACTTACCTTCCACAGCTGGCTTAGTTGAGTACCAGAAGATTAGCTCCAAACTCAGGTAGGCAACACGCAACGATAGCGGTAGCAATCGACGGCATAAAAATTCAAAACATATTTCTGAAACGAAAACGGGGTGTTTATTGTCAGACTCCCCATCCCCCCACCTCCCCATCCATTTCGAAGAAATTGACCTCAAATTGTTGTAATAGGTTGTCTCCCTGGCGCGAGATTTATCGCGAACCAGTCACAAAGCGGGCAATGCCGCGAAATCATACTTGTGGCCTATCATACATGTACATTGCTTCCATTTTCTTTAGCTTTATTTACGCGCATTGAATGTACGTTCGTGCGCATTTAAAAATTATGGGACAGTGGAAATCTACCCTAATAGACAAATTTACCCTTAAAAAAAGGATTTGTTAAAGTTGTTCTGAGCATCAGGTTTTTCTTATTGTATCCCGGCCAGTATCAAACTTGAGAGTATGAAAGATCTTCTGGATAGGTTTGCCGAGATAGATAGCAACAGGGATGGGATGGTGGATTTGGAGGAGTTTGCTGAGTACCTCAACTTACCCGTCACGCGCCAGGTCAAACATCTCTTCTCCCTCTATGACAGAGTGAGTATCAAACCTAAGTTTACAATGTAAACAATAACAGCAGCTTTAACCCTGAAAATAGGACCGTTTCTGCGTGTTACAATCTTACAAAGATGGTCGGTACATTGCTTGTTATTCTGTTAATCATGGCAGTGCGCACATTTCCTTCTTATAACTTCAAGTTCTGCGAGCGAGAAAATGCGCGCACTTGTTGTCTTACATCGCCTAGCCGTCTTTTGCGCGTGAAATCTCCCTTGTTTTATGTAACTGGAGGTTATTATTGTAAGCCTGCCTCTCAAATTAAATCTTCTGAAATTCGACGAAATTGTGCGCACTTGTCGTCTTATAACAGCTTATAACTCTTAGATATGCTGGGGTGAGTCCGTGCAAACACTTAAATGCCATTCCAGCGTCTCCGACTTCAAGTTGCCGAACAACTGGCAGCCGATGGAGTTGCTTTAATATGGGGGTGATGTAGTCAAATTTCCTTGCCCCTGTGGCAACCCTAGCCTCTCAAATAAAATCTTTGGAAATTTGACCAAACAGGAAGCGAAGAAAAAGACTTTGTGAGACGCTATTAAATGAGAACAAGAAAAGTGAACCAGCCATTTTCTTTGCTCACAAATCTCTCGCTAATAATTGGAATGGGCCATTTCCGAGTTACAAAACCTTTCTTGTGAAAATGAGATTTATTTACTTGAGAATAAAAAAATAATTTTCACATCAATAGCTTTGCAAAACAGAGGCTTGGGGCGACTCTGGGATGCATCTTATTCAGCAGTTATGCCATCCACTCTTTAATGACACTGGTACATGCGCTCACTAGTCTTATGTTTTGCTTTTTCCGCAGGATGAATCTGGTTATCTAGACTTTCGTGAATATCTTATTGGCTTAGCACTAGTGTCCCAACCCGCTAACACTGAAGATGTGATGAAAGTGGCCTTTCAGGTTGGTATGTTTCAATTATTGCAAACTTAACTGTTTTCGCGTTCGTTGAAGTAACCACCGTGTTGCACGAACTTTTTGTGGGAGTTGAATTTCGCTGATCGACAGGATTTTTGTTTGCATTTTGCTGAGAGATTTTTGTGATTATGAAAGACTTGTTTATCACTTGCTGGAAATTAATTTCTTGCGATTATCAGGAAGTCGTGTTCAAGTTGGAATTACAACACTTTCGTGTCTTGATTAAATTACGTACACTCGGACCCAACATGCAGAGATTGATATATATTATATAGATTATTATTTTATTGTGGGCGACAAAGAGAAGCCCGCAATCCTAATCTCCAGGTTGATATTACGCATGCGTCGCATGCATGTAGCCAGCATCCGTTTGGACTTCCACTAAGGGCGCTTTCCATTTGTTAGAACTGACCGGCCAGATCATCGCTGGAGTTGTTATTTTGACAATATAATAGGCTTTTCCCAAGAGTTTTTGCTGAAAAACCATCTCTTTCCTGCATAGTATTTAGGATTTGACTGATCTGGTTGGATAGTTTTGATCAAAAGTGAAATTCTCGTTACTACGAGAAGGGTCTGGCCGGTCAGTTCTGACAAATGGAAAGCGCCCTAAGAATGAATGGAATGCACAAAACGCGATTTGATCACGGGCCTTTGGAGCTTCTATCACTCGTAATTTGATCACGTGCGTTTGACTATCTGTCACGTGAAACTTACGCAAAGCACGGCGATGGAGCAAAAGCGTAAAAAAACCCGCCTGCACTCCGTAACCTTTGGTTATTGCTAGTTGGTAAGTAGATAACAGAGTATGTCACTGTATACAGTGATAGTATACAGGTTATTCACCTCTGTTCTCACTTCACTTTCTCTTCAAGGCCTTTGACATGAATGGTGATGGAAGAGTGGACGAGACAGAACTTCGCCACATTCTTCAGAGCGCTTATCCTTCCATCACAGACTTGAACGTGAACTGTTTGTTTAATCAAGTGGACGTAAACCACAGAGGATCAGTCACATTTGGTAGGTGCACGTCGGCATTTTGATGTCATTAGTGCGCTAAATTAATCAGTCGTTGTCACATAATTGAATACTCTCCAAGCCGGAGACTTTGCGAATAATGAAACTTGTTTATTGTTTATTGTTTTTTTTTGCCAAAAATTAAACAAATCAACTAAAATCTAATTACCTTAACTCTCATGGCGAGGAAGCTAAATTGCCACCGGGCTTATAAGTCGTTGATAATTAGAACAAAATATTATCATAATTGGGAAAATCAATGGCAGAGCCGGAATAAGTATTTTAGATAGTCGTACTAATCATAGTTCTAGGCTAAAAAAAGCGAAATGACAAAAAGAAGAAAAAACAAAACAAAAAAAAACAAAACAAAACAAAACAAAGGAAAATAAAAGACTTGTGGTTACCTTGTTCTGCGGCAACGCCCGGACGATCATACTCAACCTGCTTATGAAACGTTTCCTGGGTTCAGACCTTTCACATTTTTACTATTACTAGGGTCTGAAAGGGTATTCGCGGGATCCATGATTTGACCAAAATACAGTGCAGGATTCGGGAAACGTTAACGGGTTACGGGATTTGATTGATACCCGGGATACGGGATTCGCCAATATATGGGCATCGGTTCAGGATTGGGGTCATTAGGAAAGAAAACGTTATTCAGGATAGCTATGACAGAAGTTCGGGATGCGGGTTTCTCGGGAGCAAAGGAGCGAGAATACGCACGGGATCAGGATCCCTCTTTCCAGACCCTATATTACGGGCTGATTGCCTAAGCGGGGCTGGCCCGTTTTGCCAGGATCGTCCCGCGTCAACTTTGAAATTGCGTGACAACCCAGCCAGCCCGGTTACCTGGAATCGAGGTCACGTGATCGGGGTGGTGTAATACTGGGATGAATGTTAAAAGGTACTAACTCGTTTAGTTGTCTGAACAATAGGCCGATTCTTAGCCTGCGAGCAAGCTCTGTGGGGCGCTGTGGCAGTGGGGCGGGAAAAGGAAGATCGCCCCGGACAGCTTGCTCGCAGGCTAGCCAATTCCGAGTTGCCTCAAGCCTCTGTTTCAAAGCGAGGCTAAGTGCGACCTCATTTTCACAAGAACGGTTTTGCACTTAGCCTTGTTATGAAAGTGAGAGTTTTTGGAACTCGGAAGTGGCCTATTCAATAAATCTGTCGATCAGTCGACTTCAGTTGGTTAATTTACAGAAAATTGATTACTTTCTTATTTCTTTAGAGGAGTTTCGTGACTTCGCGCTGTCTCATCCAGAATATGCTGTCCTGTTCACCCATTACAAGGAAAACCAAACGGAACGGGCGAGTGTGAATCCGAGCGGCCAAAACCAGGAACACATCCAGTTAGAAGCTGAGGCCTGAGTCATGGAATGCTGTCATCATGGCCAGCTCTGTTTTTAACCAGCCTCGTGTTAGCTTTCGTAGTTGGCGGGATTTATCGCGCGTGGCTGCTTCAGTCAACAGGTGCTTTTGTTGTTTTTGTTGAGGTCGTGAAGCCTCGAGAAGAATGGAGAAAATTGAATCAAATTGATTCTTCGCGGCTTGCGCAGCTCTGCTACCAAAAGCATCAACCCTCTTCGATCTCGCCAGCTACGCAGGTTAGACTTGTATAGTCATGGGGAAATCCCCCGACTTGACACAATCACCAGCACCTCCTAGACGAGAATTCTCAAAAAAAAAAAAAAAGCATGCGTTATACGTTGCTATTTAAGTAAAAAGCATAGCTTTACAAGAATAAAAAGCAGGTTTTAAGCTATCTACGTACCGAATGAAGAGGATTATATACTCATCATATTTAACTCAACTAAAAGTAGACCTAAAATAGCGGTTTTAAACTCTCACAAAAACATGGCTTATAGGCCCTTTTATTTATCCTCATGATTATGTTGTACCTTTTGGTTGTTAAAGGTATGAGAAAAGAAACGTAAATACATGTATTCGTAACAGAAGGGTTTCTTGCATAGGATGCTTCATTTTGAATTTGAATTTAGCCGTTTGTTAAATGGCTGTAATTTATGTTTTTAATTCATACCATGGATCAATCATTATTTAAGGCTTGGCAATGATATTTTTTAAACTTAAGTTTCAACATTTTTGTTGTCGCTTAGGGGTATAAAAAGGCGTTATTCGCATGTATATAGTACAAATGAGGGATTTACGGGCGACAGGTGTCCTCGATCAAAAGTGAATTGACGAGGAATAAAATTTACTCCCCCCCTCAAAGGGTTTTCACGATTGAAATATGCGTTAAATTATAATATTATTAATAGCTGGTGCAATAATGCAAGCTATCTACCATCATGCACAGTGATAAAAAGCAAGCTAATGCGACAAGGAAAATGTGTCGCCATAGTTTCAATAAGAGACGTGAAAAATAGCCAAGATATGAAATCCGTTCACTAGCACTAGTCATAGTTAGCTCAGTTTTCAAGAAAAGAATTGATGTTTTCCCGATCATGGTATCGTCTATTGAGTAAAATATTGATTGGAGTTTTTTCATTTTTCTATGTGTTAGCCCCAGAGATGACTAGAGCCCAACTTGTCCAATTACACTAATAAAAAATGCACGCAGAGAATGAAATAAACGTTGGTCTCACTAAACCTAGTGATTTTCAAGCTTTTCTTGTTTTGTCTCATCTATTGCGCCTGTAAACCAATAGAAAGTTCGACTGTTCCCTAATGATATAGCTATCTTGTTCTTTAGGCCATGCCTTTGAAGTGTTTCGTTTCCCATGGCCCAAACCGTGAAAAAGGAGAGAATCTCCCTCATTGTCTCGAATAGCGGCTGGTAATCGAGCCTACTCCCTAGCCCAAGATAAGTCGACGTGTCGCAGAGCCTGTATTGGTTTCACCGCTAAGGTAACAGTAGAGGTGTCGCGAAAAGTCGTTGGTTGTACTTTAAGGCTTCGATTTTATTCAAAAGCACAGCATCCCTTTCTTCTATGCAGATCTCATCTACCTTTCTCGTTAAATGTTGCCTTTTATTTTTACCATATAAAATATTTGGGTAATCAATATATTTTGTTAGGCTTCCCGTAGGAAAAGTGAACGACACATCCCGCAGTCGTCTCTTTTTTCATATGCTATTGTTTAAACAATCGCAAAATCCCATTCGGTATTGGGCGCCTGAAATTAACTGTAATTTCTTAAAACGTTAACCTGTTATCATTATCATCATCATCATTATTATCATTATCACCTCACCTATCCTCTTCCCACGGGGCACATACAGCTGTAAGGTCTCCACAGAGACCCTTTACTTTTCTCGGTTAACTGCTACGGTCTTCAATTCCTCCCACGATTACCATCCTGTTCTGTTCTTTCTTTTTCAACCAATCTCCTCCAGGTGATCTTTGGTCTTCCTTTTCTTCTTTTTCCTTCTGTTACCCAAGTCATTGCTATGTTGCAGTCGCTGTTTTGGTCCTGTTTTAGTATATGTCCAATCATCTTCTGTCTACGCTGCTTCACCTCTTTACTCATAGGTTTCATGTTTGCTCTTTTGTAGGATTCTTCGTAGACACTTGTTCCGAAATACATCCGCTGCTCTGTCGTCTCCCTTGTTCATTTTCCATGTTTCACATCCTTACAGCAGGACTGGCACTACCAGTGTTTTATACAACCACAGTTTTGTTCTTCCTAAGATGTTTTTTTAAGCGCTAGATCCTCTTTAATCTGGCAAATCATTATCATCACAATTTTATTTTATTTAGTTAGTTACTTTTTGTCCAATTGATCGACCAACCCAAGAGAAGGTGATAGGAAACGAAACACTGTATAGGAACAACCAAACGGAGGGAAGGCTGGATGGGGGGTGATTTAATTTGTAAGGTTTTATTTAATAAAGAAGAAAACGGGTGTATTGTACGTGGACTGTTAAAATATTGAAGTGGAAGCTTCTTAGACAAGCCGCCGATTTGTTTTAAGATTCTCAACTGATTGACAGCGTCTCCATGACAACAGTAGCTGAAACAACAAACGTGAGGGACGATTCGCAACTGTTCAAATATAAAAGTATTACTTGACGACATTTTGATAAGCGAATGTAAAGAAAAGGCGAAAAGAAGAGGCGTGAATAAATTTTTCAAAGAAAATAATATAAATACAATTTGACGAAAAATACCACTCAACAACACGGGAGCCATGGCTATATTACGCGTAGGCAACATTGGACGAAGTTGCCGCCCTATCTGCCATATGCCTCTCTCATCTGGGGAATAGTCTTGGAACTATGGCGAATTCATCCTTTTCAGTTCCACCAAACTCGCCCAAAGTTAAAAGCGATGTTTTTACAGCCGCTGGGGTGCTCGTAGTAACATTAACAATCACTGTAACGGTTCTAGGCGACTGTTTGATCTTTGCTACTTTCTTTTCTAGCGTAGGCATCCGTACAAGAGCGAACTTGTTTTTTCTGTCATTGATCACTGCGGACATTCTCCAAGCTGTTCTTGTGATGCCGTTTGAGATGGTTCGTATCATACATGACCCCGAATGGCCGCTCAGTGTGGCGGCAACAAAACTGTGGAACTCTTTGTTTGTTTGCTTTGGGACGGCGTCCGCGTACAACTTAGCAGCTATCGGTCTAGAGAGGTATCTTGTCATATCCCGCCCATTCGAGCACAGTTCTGGCGTCATTTCAAAGAAGAGTCTCGTGGCAATAGCCTTCATTTGGCTTTACGCAATCTTGAGTGGCATCTTTAGCTTATCCGCCTGGAAAACTCCTCAACAGGACGAGGATAAGTCTGGCTTTTCAATCTCCCTTTCCTACGCTATTCCATTACTGATTTTAGACAATCTTCTACCACTGGGTGTCTGCATGGTAACGTACGTCCTCATCTTTCGAATCTCGCTGGATCACTCATACAGACTGTGTCTCCTGTGCGGCTGGAGTCTTGATGGCCACAGAATACGCATTGCGAAGGAGAAAAAATCTATCCGAACTCTCAGTCTTCTTGTTGGCACATTCACTGTGTGTTCGCTACCGTTTTTTATTTTTCACGTAGTCGACATGGCCTTCAATGAGAAACTTCCTAACCGTCTATATGCGAGTCAAGTGGTTAAATGGCTGTGTTACGTCAATTCTGCCTGTAACTGGGCGTTGTATGGTTTTCTGAACCAGGACTTCAGAGATGTTTTGTTTGCTGTGTGTTCCAAGTGCCAGCTACGCATTCTGTCAGTTTATGGGCGATTGATGAACTCCAATCGCGTCGAACCATTGTCGTAAATTATCTCTAATCATAACCGCTTGGCAGTTCGATTTCGTTGTAATTTCAAACATTTGACTGGAGATGACCAGCAGTTAAAACAGTATGCACAAAAAAAACGTTTCCGAAATAAAGATCCGTTAGTGTCGGCATTGTTTAAGTAAAATAAAGTTGTAATTTAGTTGATAAAAATTAACTCATAGATTGATGAAGTCTGCCTTCTCTTTTCGCTTGTATCCATTTTCGTATTATGTCTCTACTTTTTTATGACAACGTCGTGCTTACTTTTTCACCCGGCGACGAATTCTCCCCTGAGACACTAAGAGATGGATCCTCTTGGTTACTTAGCAATTATTACTGGATAAGGATGGGATTGATTTGAAGAATTATGTAGATCGGCCGAGAAGGATTACACCCTGCTATGTAACTCTTCGGATCATACGAAAGCCGAATCCATCAATAGACCCGTTTACAGCTACAGCAGCTAGTCATTCAGGTGGTGGACAAAACACTGACCCCCAGTCCATGGACTGGACTACCCATATGGACTACCCTAAAATGGACTACGCCGCTGAAGTTTGGTGATTAGGGTTTAGGAAACTGAGTGAATCAAGTTTGCGGTCAGTTTTCCGAGTATGATGACCCTAAATGGAACCCGACTGGGGGTTATAATTGACGTCATTTTATCGGATATCGCATACCATGTTCAAAGCTGGTTATAAAGTAGCCCGTGAACAGGCTTTCTTTGTGGGGAAAGGGTGAAAAAAAATGTTATCATGCTAGTTACGAAGAATTAGCGGGGGGATTTGAGCCAATTATTAAAGAAGAAGTATTTTAAATGAATAATTATTATCAACAGCTGGGACACCAATGACTAGCCTCCTTGCAGACGTCCTTTGGGGTTCGAGAAATGAATGCGTGACAAACGAATCCCAAAGGACGTCTGTGGGGAGGCTAACCAATGACGAGATAAGACGTTTTTGAGAGTGCTATTCAGAGCTAAAAAAGACCCACACTTTTCAATGACAACAACAATACTTAACTCAAGTGATGGATGGAAAAAATGAGACAACACGTGATCTTAATTTGAAGCTTAATTGAGAAAACAGCCGACATTTGGCAACGCCACCGCTAGTTTCCCTGTGAAATGAAATCAAAGGAACGAGAGTAGAAATTCCATACTGATGACGCGTCACTACCA